TAGGTAAATCAATTCATTAGTCGGGCCGCATGCGGAGGACAACTTTTGATGGACTTCAATGTAATTGTCTCAGTTAATTTTATTTAGTGGGTATCTCAAGATACTCCATCTTCAGTCCTCGGAAGCATTGGCGCGCGAGGTCATCCTGTCGCGTCCCAATAGGATTACAATTAAGGTCAAGTCTATTCTTACTCTTTAGAATCCAAGCTAAACAACTTACAGGTCAAGCGGTCTACACACTTTTAATTCTTTTTTTTTTTTTTTTCCCCTTCACTGACTTAATTCTTATTCACGGAGTTACTTATCAAATGTTTTCTCTGTTTCTGCGAAGTAGGGAAGTTTTCTTCCTGCTTTCATGTTAGGATTATTGTATATTTTCTTTTAAGTGTTTCCCTTCGGGTAATTCTGTAGTCGCATGTTTTTCCCTACTTAGGAATTATCGGCCAGTCGGGCGGGAAAAATTTTATTGTCGGTCGCTGGGTTTCACGTTACAAATTTAATCATGTCTTCTCTAAGGCACTTAATTTCTTACTAATTTACTCTTCACATATTCATTAACTTATTTTCCGCTACATATTTATATACAGTAATTATTTAAGGATTTGGACATTTCGCTATTTGTCATCTACTTATGTTACATGGATTATATTATTATCCCTGTAATTAAATACTGTTCACAATTCTGCCTTCCTTATAATTATTCGGTCACTGGGTTTTTCCAGAACATATTTAAAAACTATAATTTTGAAGGTTTTTCTAAGTCTATTTTGTTTTTATAATTATTTCTATACATTAGATATTGGGAATTACTATTATTGACATTAAAATGTACTTAATTGTTGTTAAAGATTCGCTGCCTGGAACGGGGGGTTACGGGCCATGGGGAGCCCGTAGATGAAAAGTACTTAGTTATGTTAATGCCTTTTAATATTCATTAATCCGCTTACTTGTAACAGTCTGGGATGCTTATCCTATCATTTATTAATTTGTTCTACTATCCACAGACTGTTGGGGGTAGTCTTTACGGTATTCTTATACAGCCCATTTGCGGTTAGATTAGTCATTAGTACCATTAGTAGATTAGTATGGTTGTTGGTTGGTCGTTAAGGTTTAAGTCACCCAAGGGGTGGCACGGGCATGCTTCGCCGAAAAATTCGTATGACATTATACAGCACACTTTATTCTGACTAACGACCAGATAAAACATTGACGTAATATCAAGCTTGATGTGGTCCCCCCCCCCCTTTGCATTCTGGGGGTATGGGTTGTTCTTACATATTCATGCATTATTCGCGATATATTACACGTTCATGCGTATTTAATGATGTACTATAGTACATGTCTTCCCCTGCTTGGAACATTGGAAGGTCCCATACTCCACTACGTTCGTGGTAATTGGTCTACAATTTTACCAACCATGTTATCGAACCAGTATTTACCCAAGTTTTTTTTTTTTTTCCATTTACTACGCTGTACACGTTCAAGGGAATTTATTTACATCTATAGTATGACGCAAAATACAGTTCTGCTTATTCTAACTACGGCACAAATTTCATTGCAAGATTAACGGAAGAACAACTCCAGGCGTCAAGTTACTAATCCTTTATTAATATTGCCCAGTGTCCTATTCGCCTCATTTAAGACCGAGCATGCATTGCTCCTTTGGTTTTAACCATCTTACTAATTGCAATTCCAAGTTCCCTTTCTTCGCAGAATTCCCTCAGTCCACAGAATCATCGCGGAGGGGTCAACACACACCCCTCGGGACGAGCAGAGCGGCGTGGAACGGCCTGCTCCCACCTGACGCAATCTGATTCAGCGGTCCACTGCACATCTATCCTACGAATTTGTTTTTCCCTAGGTTCATGCTTCAGTACCCTGCCTAATATCGGGCTTACCATTAATATGTAATAATAGGCATTTACCCACAACTTGCGTTAGTCGCAATCTGCCTTACCCGTGGTCTCCTAGACTGGGGAGTGTTACCCGTCTGTCATCACTTAAATTATCCCTAGAGTGTTCTTTTCCCAATATCTGTTCAAGATCAATTCGGCGTTGCAGTCTACGTCCCCGGTGCTGTCGGTTCAAGGTAGCCCACACACTTCTTTACTTCAGTTCCTGCCGCCAAGGGTGAGCATGATAGCACGCCCTTAGTCCTCTCCCAGAAAGACGGCATCCATTGGACCTGTGGAGTTGACTATACTCTATCCGGTATTATTACTCTAGCCTTAATCATAATAGAAGTACACACTTTTTCACTTCCATACGTTGTTTTTCAGATAACCCGCCAACAGTGGCCTTCAGGTGAAGGTCGGTCCCACAACTGTGATATTTACCATTTTGTGATTAACTGCCACATCCGTGCTTCACTTCTTTACGTTATTACTATTTAACATACTTTGCGTGTTCCGTCAGTGTATATGGTCTGTACAACGTTGTCTTCAGCTTGGAGCAAGGAGCCCGGTTCGTTCGGGTTTCGGAGCGTTTAATTACCCCACTGCTTTACCACACTGTCCTACTTATGCCACATGCTCACCCCTGCCAACCCTTACTGCCGTAATATTTCCAGAACGACTACAGACCATCGGGGAACAACACATGGACGGGGAACATTGGTTTTGCGCCCGAAGAACTCTCGATGGACTGCACGGATGGGCGCATGAAGGAACTACTCAGCTGCGTTGGGGCTAGCCTCCGCGAGGGCGGGCTACAGCGACGACGACGCCCACGAGGACGACCCGGCGTGGCGGTGCACAGCACGCGTAGCACGCATTAGAACGACTACAGACCCTCCATCTGGTCACCATTTGGTCCGGGAGACATCTCCCATCACGCAGGGTGCAGTCGCACCTCCACAGATCTCCAGTATCATCTATTGATACTGGTGATGGCTCAAAAGGGACACCACTTACGAGCTATTCATGCCTGTGCCACCTTTTGGGTGGCTTCATCTTCATCTTAACACATTCACAAGGGAGACATCTCCCGTCATGCAGGGTGCATTCGTACCTCCACAGATCTCCAGTATCAGCTCTTGATACTGGTAATGGCTTAAAATGGCCACCACTTACGAGCTATTCATGCCTGTGCCACCTTTTGGGTGGCTTCATCTTCATCTTAACACATTCACAAGGGAGACATCTCCCGTCATGCAGGGTGCATTCGCACCTCCACAGATCTACAGTATCAGCTCCTGATACTGGTAATGGCTTAAAATGGCCACCACTTACGGGCTATTTATGCCCGTGCCATCTTTTGGGTGGCTTCATCTTCATCTTAACACACTCACAAGGGAGACATCTCCCGTCACGCAGGGTGCAGTTGCGCCTCCACAGATCTCCAGTGTCATCTTTTGATACTGGTAATGGCTCGAAAGGGCCACCACTTACGGGCTATTCATGCCCGTGCCACCTCTTGGGTGGCTTAATCTTCATCAATCAATCATCGACTACAGACCATCGGGGAATACCTCATGGACGGAGAACATAGGATCGCGCACGATGAACACTCCCGACGGACGGCACGGATTGGCACACGCAGGTCCTACTCACCCGCCCTGGGGTCAACCTCACTGGGCTAGTCTCTGCAAGGGCGGGATACAGCGATAACGGCGACACGAGGATGTCCTGGCGTGGCGGGGCATAGCACGCGAGGCATGCACGAGGTAATACGCCCACAACACGCAGACATCAAGACGCCCGCATTGTATACACATGCACCAGACGGGGCTCCATTGGTCACTTCCAGGATGCTGCTTACCTAGCAGCATTTACCTGCCATGTACGCCCGACTCTGTACCTTTTTTCAGTACTGGAAATTCCTGACTGTTTTTTTAATGGCAGAGGTAACGGGTGTACGGGCACGGACGTGGACGCAGACAAGGAAAAACTCCATGATACCCCGCGACGCGGAACTTTCGGCTACGCCATTCCTGGTGGCACGGCCCCCAACGTCAGATGAGAAGTCAACGCCCTACACGCTGATGCCCCTTACGTGGCCTGCGCCCTCACAATGACTACGCCCCACATTCTTTACGGATTGGACGGGCCATGCAGCTGTCACATTAACGGGCATGTGCAGGAAACAATTAAGGCCGTCGGACGATGGAGGCGTGACGTTTTTCACTCATATGTCAGGCAAGATGTCATCACGCTTCCACATTGAAAACATTCAGCGGCCAGATAAAAGGCACGAAAATAAACAAAATAAAGCAGACGACCGAAACCCTAGATCAGGCTCTCTGCACCCAGCACTGCCGGGTGGGTAAACATTGGGCAGCAACGATTAGAGCCATGATTTACCGCATAAAGGTCCGGTTTCGTGAAGAAACATACTACACCGGACCCCAATTTCTAAGGAAAATCGTCGACATCACGAATGCAGCCCCGTTGGACATCCGTGACGATGCTGACGGCGCTGTACTCCTCTATTCAAGCGCGCAAGCTCTGGAGCAACTGTTTGCACCAGAACACCAGGACGCCCTACGAAACTACAACCTGATCATCACTCCTAACCGTCGCTACTTGGCTGAACGAAACATATTCGTCAGCCACACGAGTGTCTACACCGCCACCCAGGATCCTGGTACCATCAACACCAGAAAACACGGCTCTGACTGCTGCTACAGTCAAGGACACCCAACAAACGGTGCCTCAATTGCGGAGATCACATCACCGTCTCCATGGACTGCCACGTACGACTAGATGAAATAAATAAACAGTGACTGCCAACCCAACAACTAATCAGCCGGCAAGCTTCGATATCCAAGCTACATTATTGCCAGTGCTTCCCAACGCTTCTGCTCCTGCTACACAGACGTCCACACCAGGCCAACCAACCAAGTTCCTAGGATCACCATTGTTTCCATCTACCTCGGCTGAGACCGTCACATATGAGGCCCCAGACTTCGACCTAAACCCAAGCAAATCAAGCAAGAAAAAGCCCTACTATGGATTTACCTCATTCACGATGGCACTTTCAACAGCAATCGAAGCACAAGAATGGTCATTGCCTTAGAATGCAACAGGATCATCAACCAGCTCAAGACCTGCTTTCCTTACCCTGTGTTTGTCCACCACGAGACCGTGGAACATTATGTTGACCTCTGCGCTCTGGAGAGTGAATACGTCGACCCTAAATACGACTTCAAGAGGGAACAAGTGACCTTCCTGGAAGAAGATGAAGACCCGACAGGAACACCAATAACGCCGATGTCATTTGGGAAGTACATGCGAATACCTCGTGGTCAAGATAACAACAAGCAACAGTGAACTTTCCTCTCACCACCTCAATAAGGACGACGCCTCCTCCAAGCCAGACAGACCACCTCAAGTGAACCAGGACGACATCACCCTGCCCCACCACTAGCCTCCTGCCGCCCAAGAAGAACTTAAGCTACAGGCTTTGCTGAAAAAAAAAAAAAAAAAAAAAAAAAAAAAAAAAAAAAAAAAAAAAAAAAAAAAAAAAAAAAACATCTCCAATCCAAGGTGGACGGGCCACCGAAATTTCAAGCCTCCTCTCTCCACATCCAAATCCTCTTCCAAGAATTTCATCGCCCCATCTTTTTTCCTCACATCATCCTTCCCAAGCTTTTTGGACATCAATCCAAACCAATTCCGCGGACAGCTGGCACTCGCCCTTCGGGGGGGGGTCCGGCCAGCTGGCTCTGCGAGTGGGGGTGCAGCGCCGGCCCCTAAGTATTACGCTGTCCGCAGCTACTTACTCTCACTTGTAAGAGTATTGTTAAATTTGTCCTATAGGTGTATTCTACAGCTACTAGTAATTTACCATTTCACATTATGTCTGGGATTTGCCACATTATTTATGTCATGTGTTAGGCCACTATATGCTACTCTTTAAGCCCCGATTCTACTTAAAAAATTATGTTAAACGTTTGCCTTACTTGTACCAATAGTTAATAAGGATTCCGCGTTCTTCAGACCATGTTCTATTTAGTTACCGGATATAAGCATATATATTAATGTTATTAAGTCATTGTAGCCAAGTTATACATGTATTTATGCTGTTGTAAAATTATACAAGTTACCTGTTCATTAACATGGTCTGAAAAAATTTAATTATTTTGTTACTACTAAAAAATTAAATAAATAGGTCCCAATGCTGTCGGTGTCTTATTCCTCCGTTATCAGAAAATAACCGCTGCATTATGTAGGAATGCGGAGGAATTTCTGATGGAGGAGAAGACAGTTGCACAGCGCGATCCGCAGCGCGCGGAGCGCCGCGGGGGGGCCTATATATAGCACAGAGGAGGGGTCATGCGTTCTTTCTTGTTCCAGCCTCGCTCCGCTTCACAAGTCTTAGAAAAAATTTTCCCACCCTCCTCCCCTTCCAATGTTCAGCGGCAATATAACCCTATGCACAGTACTATGTCTTTGTCCTTTATTGGTGGTCAACAGGGGGGTGCAGCGCCGGCCCCTAAGTATTACGCTGTCCGCAGCTACTTACTCTCACTTGTAAGAGTATTGTTAAATTTGTCCTATAGGTGTATTCTACAGCTACTAGTAATTTACCATTTCACATTATGTCTGGGATTTGCCACATTATTTATGTCATGTGTTAGGCCACTATATGCTACTCTTTAAGCCCCGATTCTACTTAAAAAATTATGTTAAACGTTTGCCTTACTTGTACCAATAGTTAATAAGGATTCCGCGTTCTTCAGACCATGTTCTATTTAGTTACCGGATATAAGCATATATATTAATGTTATTAAGTCATTGTAGCCAAGTTATACATGTATTTATGCTGTTGTAAAATTATACAAGTTACCTGTTCATTAACATGGTCTGAAAAAATTTAATTATTTTGTTACTACTAAAAAATTAAATAAATAGGTCCCAATGCTGTCGGTGTCTTATTCCTCCGTTATCAGAAATAGGCAATTCTATTAATTATCAACAACTACTGAGGTTATCCAAGGGCGGCAGCGGGCAGGAACGCAGGAATTACTACGATGTTCTTCAGCTCACCCCTAAGGCTACACAATCGCAGGTATGATTAACAAAATATCAGCTTCACATTTTCATTTCTGTGAGAGTAGTGTCACAGCAGCATGCTTTCAAGGGCAGGAAATAAGTGACATCCTTCACGGAACCCGAGAGAGTGTCCGGTCATCTTGCCTTTACAGGTACGTCCATATAAGTATGGTTGAATTCACCACCGTTGTAGTTATGCAGTGATAACTACGATCGGTTTACAGCCCAAACGTTTCGGCTTCAATTCCAGCCGTATGACAAAAGTATTTGGGAAATGTTTCTTTAAATTTGATGCTCCAGCCCAACCGCTTGGGCTGGTAGAGTGATGGTAGAGCATCCTGCAGGTCGGCGTTCAATCCCCGGCCATTCACGTGGTTGGGCACCATTCCTCCCCCCTGTCCCATCTCAATCCTTATCCTGACCCCTTCCAAGTGCTATATAGTCATAATGGCTTAGAACTTTCTCCTGATAGTTACCTTTCCTTCTCTTCACCTACTGTACCAACAAATAGGTCCACAGGAGTTAGACAACTGTGTATTGAATCCTGGGGTAGATTAGGTTAGGTTAGGTGAAGAAGCACCTTAGAAGAACCTTAGGATGGTTCACTTACAAACCTAGCTTTACCTAAATACATATACTGTTTGTATAAACATACGTATTAGGAAACAAGTTATGTACAAAATGGGTCTATGATTTGACCATACCCAGTTATGGCTATAAAGTTCAGTTCCTGAGCCCATTATGTACTGTTATATTCTATAGAGGTACAATTATGTACCTCTAATTTGAGATATGTACCTCCCACAGGATGGGCTGCACCACCTCCCACAGAATGGGCATAGGCAGTACCACCTCCTACAGGATGGGTATGGGCTGCACTACCTCCCACAGGATGGGCATGGGTTGCAGCAGTCAGAAAAGCACAGACATTAGACTGGAAGTCGGAAAGGACTTCCACTTCCTTTGTACCACCAATTCTGCCTCAGTGATTGTCTTGTGACTGTTAGCTTGGCTCCTTGTTCCATGGCTTGTCTTTCTCAGGTCATCTGCAGTATTATTAAGTCTAGCCAGCCTGCATTCTACCTTCGAGCCCATGATGTTTGGAAGTACAGTATTGTATGCTACTCTGTCAGTGATGTTCACAAACATGTCCTGGGCCGATATTCAGGCGTGGAGATTTTGCAGGTCGAACAGGATTATGGCGGGCCCGGTATGTTAATGTTCCGGGAACATTAGGGTCTCATAGAGGAGTCATCACTCATACACTACCCAGGGCGAGGCTCTTCACCTTCATAGCATGGCCTTTATGGGGTGAACTGTAGAACACACCTGAGAAATAACTGTCAGTGCAGGGGCAACACTGAGTGAGTGTTTAGGGAAGAGTCGCTCTAAACTCATGTAGCCCGTAGCACAGATTCAACTACATCCACATAACAAGTAAGGCTTCCCATCACTCCCTCAGTCCCCCTCTTCTTAAATTCCCGTATCATGGTACCTCGAGTGGTTAAACTCCATCTGCTACAGACCTCTCACCATGTCAGTGTACAGTATTGTGGAAGTTTTTTGCTTAGAAGAGGTTTGAGGGTACATGAATTGACATAAGAATAAAGGAAATTACAGAAGGCCTATTGGCCCATATGAGGTGGCTCTTATTTATATCCATCCAAACTCATTCATATACAATATGTCTAACCTACACTTGAAACAATCCAGCAATCCCATGTCTACCATATTACAATATATGGTAATGTTTCATAAATCTACAACCCCCTGTTTCCAAACTAGTGTTTATCCAGGTCTTTCCTGAATCACTACTACAAATAATGTTTATTGTTTTAAGTTCAAATGAATCTTCTAGAGGCCATTCCAGGCTGAGTATTTTCCAGTATCTTTTTTTTCACTGAAATGGGGATGTCACCCTGTATTGATTGTGCATAATCATGTTCATGGGAAAAGCAGGACCATGCCTAGGAAAACAACTGAGTGTTCTGCTCAGGAGTAGCTTTTCATATACAGTGAACTCAATCTAATTTTTATTTCAGGTGAAAAATGCCTATTACAACTTATCAAAAACCTATCATCCTGACCAGTATAAAGGAGCAGAAGATGCTTCTCTCAAGTTCCGAGAGATAACAGAAGCCTATGAAGTTCTGGGAAATTTTCATAAGAGGAAGATGTATGACAGGGGAATTTTTACTATTTCAACAGCTGCAACACCAGCTGAAGCTGAGGAGTATTCTGCCAAATTTTATGAATCACGAAGAAAGAAAGGCTATGCTCCAACCTCAACAGGACGTACTCCTATTTTTAACTTTGATGAATGGTCAAAGGCTCACTATGATCACAGTCGTGTGAGAAGAGAAGATGCAAAAATACGCTACGAGAAACAATTGAAAAAGAGATTGGAGCAAGCTGAAGGGAAGAAGACAGACATTGTTGTCACTCTTTTCATATTTGGAGTAATTTTTATGATATTATATTCATCAACTCAGCAAGATCTTGACACAGGTAAACATAAAGGTAAATAACAATAGTCTTGGTATACATGTTATAGTATTCTTAATTTGAAATGTACGTACATGAAAATTTTATATAATGCTGTACCTGTATAATGTATATATTATATTTTGGGGGGACAATCTTTTGATGGAAGAAATATTAGCCATGCAATAATAAAATTTCACCTTATGAAATTAATAAACCTCACATTGATTACTGGATATTTTCATGTTGAGTTAAAAGTACAGTACAGTACTGTACTTTACTGTAAACTCATAAAATAAATTTGTATACATGTTCTGAGAATGAAAAATATGTTTGTGCTAATTTGCTCTAACACAAAAATTGTATGCGAGGGTAGGTTTGTAAATAGTGACACTGCTCCTGTTTGTTTTTATCTCCAAATGTTTTACAGTGCTTTAAGCAAATGATACAATACATGTTTCTGTATATTTAGACACAAAAATAATATGTAAACAATGATTCTGTATACAGTACTCATAAATAATAGATCTGTGCTATAAATAAAAAATATTAATTTTTCATTTACCTGGACTAGATACCCAGTGGTAGCACAGTGCAATTAGACCTGTAGTGTAATACTTCACAATTTATGAGCCTTTTCACATCACAAAGTAAGTGCACATTTAACATTTACTGGCCCTTGAAGTTCTCATTAGCCATGATTTGTGCCATTTTTCAGCTACAAGCTAACTGTGCACCATCAACTGCTACTAGTTACCCTCAGGCTACAATGCTACATAAGCCACTGGTAAACAGCTTCATCTCAATCCACATACCATGCTTAGACGGTGTGAGATTTGTTCACTCAGTCTGTTCAGTAACAGTTCAGATTTGTACTCTTACCACCATTGTTCTCCCTTATACTGATAAATTCCATGATCTGTTTCATTTGATTATGTCAGAAACAGTATTTGTACTGAACCAATGACATACTGCTCTGCCAGCTGCTTGCCTCCTAGGCCACAACCTAGTTTTTCCAGTAATTCTGCTTTTTTTTATTCATTCTTATTAATGGTTTCAATTCACAAATAATGATTAATCCTAAGAAAAGTCTGCAAAAATTATTGAGTAATGAGAGGTCGGATTGTACAGACTCGTGTGGAAAATACTTAATCAGTATACAGTATGTGAACTCATTTGGTCAATGGATGCCAAAGAAAAGAAGTTGCTTGAACAAACGCCCAAGTATCATGCTCTGACTCTATGACTAGCAATTATCTAGTAACTGGGGGGGGGGGCTCCTTGGTGCCTGGCAAGCTCCACTCGATTCAATCCTTACCAGGCCTTTACTACTCATAAACAGATTTACCAGGAACCAGGTGCCTCTAATCCAAGAAATAGGGGATTGTAAATTGCCTTACCAAGAAAAGGCCATCAGAAAGTTGGACGAATCAAAACAGATGACAACAAGGTAATCTATAGAAATCAGGACACCAAAACTCCTGAAACAAGCAGACCACTTGGTGGTGAAGCCATGCTCACTTTATATCTGTGCACTATCAGGAGGGCTGCATGCCTCCCTTCTCAGTTACCAACTTTAAAACCCCAGTCATATGCCTGTCCTTGAACCTTACAAGTTCACTTACACGTACTTTTCTGAGGACCATTTGCATAATTTTGATTGTTTCATGTTATGTGCTATCTTTTACAGGAATTATTATTGTTGTGTTTGTGTGACGATAGGATTATTATTGCTGTGCATACATGTGTATTGTTTGACATTTGTGGTTTCAATGTAGAATGATACACCAGTCAATTACCCTTGTTTTGCTAGTGTAAAGAGAGTTTTTTATGAGTGTTTCAGTTAGATCACTGTGCTTTGCTGGAGAAGAGAGGCAAGTACTCAGTTGCTTAATTTTGATGGTGAAACTCTATTAACGTACCAAACCTGTGTGTATTATTTGTGAACCCATGAACAAACGTTGACACCTTCAAGAGAAAACTAGATAGTTTTCTTTGAAAAGTACTAGACCATCTGGGCTGTGGTGGATATGTGGGCCTGTGGGCCACTCCAAGCAACAGCCTGTTGGACCAAGCTCTCACAAGTCAAGCCTGGCTTGAGGAGTAGAACAACTCCCAGAACCCCTATCCAGGTATTAGAGTTACGGTAATTTATTTTAATAAATTAGTGTTAAGTTACACATGCTTTGAATTAAATCCTTTTCCCAGGATTGCTCTCAATTATCTTATACAACTCCCTTAATAACTCGAGTTATTTCTTGACACATCACAAAGGTGAAAGTGCCCTAGAACCTTGCATCGATTTCAAAATTTGATGTAGAACCCCCGGCATTCTATGCCCTCTAGCAAACTCCGTTAGGGTAGACACATGCCTGACCGTAAGGTTACGACATTAAAGTGGGAGAAATTATATCCTCTGATTATCATCTCTACCACTGGAGGGTTGTTGTTTGTGGTTAGCTCTTTTTGGGAATTCAAAGTGGACTGTTGTAAGTGCCAAGAGCAATTGCAAGGTCTTTAGAGAAAACCTGAAACTCTATGAAGGTGTTTATCAAGTTCTTTTTTGAACACTTACAAGAGGTCAGCCTGTTATGCCCCAGATGTGTAGAGGGTGTTGGAAAAATCTTGGGCATTTGATGTTGATCAAGTTCTCTCTCTTGGCATGCCTATTGCACCTCAACTTTTCAAATGCGGTTATTTTGCACATCCTGCCATGCCTTCTGGTCTCGTGTGATGTTATTTGTATGTGCAGATTTTGAACCAGTCCTAGTATTATTTTCCAACTGTAATTTATTATGTATCTATCCTGCCTGTTCTAAGAAATACAGATTTAAATTTTGTTAAATGGTCCCAATAATTTAGATGTTTTATCGAGGGTATTCTAGCAGTAAAAAATATCTTTGCATGCTCTCCAGATCTGAATGAGGCTGTTAGTATGCAACAGTATTCCACTCTAGAAAACACTAGTGTCTTAAAAAGTATCATCACTGGTGCAGCATTTCTTGTTTGAAGGGTTATTGTTATCCAACCTGTCATTTTCCTTGCAGTTTCTAAGCACAAACTAATACAAAAGTACTGTACCGTAATGCAGTTCTTAATTCATTGCAAATTTACAAAATAATAATAAAATAATATACTACTGTACTTGTATTGCCTTCTCATCTTGGGTTAGCTACTAGTGCTTGACGGCTGACTTGTTATACAGTAATAGTTCAAGTAATGCTATGGTCTTCATAGGCCCTATGCAAATTTTTCCTGAATGTTGGATCTAAATTAAGTCACTACGTATAGGTAAGCATATTTTCATTCCAATTCAAAGGAATTATTTCTAGCAAATTTTGTTAATGTAGCAAAACAATTTTACGAATTTCAGCATATTTTAGTTTTATAACAATGTGACCAATTATGAAGACGGTTAAATTTGCAATGTGAAAATAGAGTTGCATTTGACTAAGTACCATATATGCATCTCTTTAGTAGACTGATTTTACTTACCTTATGAAAGGATTGAAAAGATTTAGTTATTACACACCCACTATATTATACAGAATTTATTTAAGCTACATTATATAAAAACTTTAACATTGTTATTAGAGTATCAGCTATTATATATTCTTAATTCTGCTGTACAAGAAATATGTGGCCTTGTTTCATGACTAATTTTTACAACAATTCATACCCCCTTTGAATCAGCACAGTCAAACTGTTGTGAAACCATAATTATACTGTACAGTACTATGTTTTGTTAACATTTTACTGCCTGTGTCTGCAAGTTTTGTAAAATTTGAGCAATATGTTCTCTAAAGTTTTAATATACGAGAATTTGTATAACATACAGCATTAAATCATATTCACAGGCAACAGAATATAAATATGAATTAATGAACTGTGCGCCAAATATTAAGTTGATTACAAAACTTCTGAGTGTTTAATAACTTAATACCTGGATATGTAATATTAAATATGAACCCATAAACTGCATTTGTAGACATGATTACTCTTGGTTGAATATAGAGTATGAAATGTTCATAATGCTATAAAGAAACATTAAGAGTAGACTTTTTTTGCAAATTATATTTTGCCAAAAATAAAATATTATAATTTACAAAATATTTTTTGCAAATTATATTTTGTCTTGTTAATCAGAGATACTGAGAGGTATTTGCTTACTAACATGGAAAAATGACTATGAAGATCAAAAGAAGCCAGACATGAGGAATAAAACATTCTACAATTAATATTTTTCTAGTAGTTATTACAGAACTAATTCAATACTGAAATTTTCTGTTGTTCAAATGAATTGTAGTGACTGATAGCTGAATATTCTATACACGTCTAATGATTAATTTTTATGATTTTTAAGGATGCCAAACATATCAAAGAAGAAAACAATAGGAAGAAGTGTGTAAAATCTGCAGCACCACTGAACATAAACACACAAATTAGAGTGCAGTATTGTACGGCAGTGTTAAACAAAATTTGATAGTAGAGATGATAGTGACAATTTATAAGGGCAGTTTTAAAGCCCAGCATGTTTTTGTTAAACCACAATTATGCACATAATTTGTTGGCAAATTTTCAAATGGGCAAAATGATTGTTATACACAAGTGCATATGCAGTAAGGAGTTTATAAAGCTACAATAAACTAATGTTAGGACGCTATAAATCAAATCAAATGAGAGGTTATCATTATAGTTGCCATGCTAATGGAAAATCATGTTTAAATTTGGAAACTATTAAATTTAAAGTCAGTACAGTATTATGGAAAGGTGGTAATTTGGTACTGAGAAATGCTACTGGTGATGAATGTCAAATTGTTAAAAAAAAAGTACATTTTAAAATGTAATTCCTCGTCTAGGTTACGTTTCCTTGTAGGCATTAAGACCTGATGATGTTACATTTGATAACCCTCATAATGAAGATAATGTTTTGCTTGTAAAAGTCTCTAAGTGGTATTTTCTACAGTATTATAAATTTATATAATTAGCATTTTAAGCTTACCAGTATGTATAATTATGGATATATATATACTGCATCTCATCAAATATTTGCCAATGAAATCTTTAGTTAAGAACAGCTCCATGCCAGTTATAAACTTATCAACACAGAACATGATCATAACACTAAAGAACAATTAACCTGTCTAGTATAAAATTGTATAGTATAACAAGTCTTGCTGATCTGGAAAGTGGTGTATCACAATACTTTTCAGTATATACAGTATTATCATTTATTCACTATACATACCCTGTAGTTTACCAAAGCAAAGAATGAATGATTTGCCAGTGTACTTAGTAGTCTGTCAGTCTGTAATTCCTGTAACAGTGGACATTTACTGCTGCACATTGTTCACCATAAAATATTAAGTAAAACATATACCATACAGTAATATCCAGGTGAACTAGCATTTAGAAGTGACTGAAGGTCACTACATGATGGTAGTATTGTTATACTGTACTTCATAGACTTCTCAGTGTCCTGTATAACAACACTGCTACTCTAGTTTTGTATCTCAAAATAATTAGGCACACATTTGATCAGCACAAATAAGGAATTAAAAGTTCTAGGAAAAACAAATGTTATCTGGTTAATGTATTAGAAAACCACGTCTCAATTGCAATAAGATATAGTATATTCTCAACATGCACAATAATTTACACTTACATTGTAAAAGTTAGACTTGAGGAATGAGAAACAATGTCTTGTTACACATTCCATATTCAAACATGCAAAACAATGCACTATGTACAACTTGGGTTTTGTTGAACCTTAAAACCTTATGTATTATCAACTTCGTGCTTTGAAACCAATCATAAAGATATGAAGTAAAAACGAGGCTTTGCAGTACCAAAACAATTGCCCATCATATGTACCTGTAATTAATTTGCCTTACTGAACATCTGTATCAAGTATTTTCTGTATTGTATGTAGGTAATTTACGATAACTTTGTAGTTAGCAGGTTAGCGCAAGATACAGTGATTGTTTTATGTATGTGCAACTGTTCATGCATTTGTTTGTATGTTATTTTATGTTGGGATTTAGGCCTAGGGCCCAAATATTAAAACTGGTTAAGCTATTCATGGCTGTACTATACTGTATTTGTGTGCGGGGGTGGTGTTTGTGTATTGTTCAAGTTCACACTTGTTTACAGGTGCATGGTTGTGTGTAGGCAAGTGTGTATGCTTGACTGTATCTATTCCTACACACACACACAAAGTGGCATTTTAGCATTACTGTATATTTCAGTATACAGTATTCATATGAAGATTATCATGCTACTACCTTTGACATACAATATTTATGAAAAAACAGTTTTTCTATGACCAGTATATGATATTTTTTTACAGTTTAAAAATTGCTCTCCCTCCCTCCATCCCCCCCCCCCCCAAAAAAAAAAAAATTACTCATTATTCAAAGGGTTCCATGCTGTTTACATGATGGAAAATAACAATGACAAGGTTGTTCACCATGAGTTATAACAAATGTTGATCACCACAAGGAACTTAAAAACTAGACCACATTTTATTTTAGTAGGTTTTACCCACAAACTTAGTGGTACCCAGGCATGGGCATATTCATGGGCTGTGTGGGGTATGGTGATGACCACTGATTGGCTCCATATCCAACACCACCACCAGTGGAAGGCTGAGAAGGGTATGGTGAGCTGTGTGCACTACTTTGCTTGTTTAAAATGTCCTCAATTTTCTCTGCCTTGATCCGCCTTAAGTGCGCAGTCTTCCTCTTCGAAAGGAATTTAGACAAAAAGTCATCTACATCATGTTCTTTGTCAAGGAATGACTGGACCAAATTCTGAAAAATATATGCATCTAAATGTAGTATAAATATATACAGGTAATAAAACTGTAAATGGGTTGGGAAAGGAATAAAAAGGTAACATGTTAGTCTCAGAAGTGAAACAAAAATTAAAATAGCAAAGCCTCTTCACATTCCTAACATATGCATGCACAACACCCCCCATCATCACTTCTGTTTCACATTATTCTGCTCAATTAGCCATGTAAAGACTGATTAAAAGTACTGATTGGCTGCAATAATTGTGGTGCCCTACCAGTGTTTTCTTGTTCAAGTCTGTCTTCCCAGCATGTTCCACCCTGTCTTTCAGCTCTTCTGCAGCCATTACAGATTCTTCCGGCCACAAAAAACTCAGTACAAAGGTGGGAATGCAGAGCCCAGTACCCTGAGCACCTGAAAAAAACCCACCCCTCAGAAATAGAAGGGGATAAAAGTATGGAAGAGAAAATGCAGCCCAGGCAAAACTAGGGGCATCATCAGTGACATCCAGAGAAGGCAACTCTGGCTACATACAGCAGAGGTGAACAAGTGATGAAGGCACAAGCAACAGGTTGGCATAAAAACAAAAATCCAATGAAAGAACAAAGATAGGAGAGAGTTCAAGGGATGGCCAATGCATAGCAGAAAAGTTGGTACCCATAGAGCATGGAAGAACGAGGACTGCATCATAGTGCACAAGATCCATGAATGGCTGGGGTAGCTGCCCGAGACCATTCAGTCAGCAGGGCTGCCATCTAGTGCCAAAAGAGGAGCCAACTAGTGGACAGACTTAGACAATGAGTGTGTACATTATTTGACCGTGTTACAAATTGTGTGCATTTTCCTTTGGTAATCTTGTATCCCCCACTGCCCTATTCCTTAACTGAGGGGGAGCCAGATATTGGGCCTAGTCTCTAATAGGTACTCGTGATTCATTAGCACCTGGTGTTATACCTGCGTTTGGTGGACTCCAGATGGGTAGGTTGGGGAGATATTGAGGGAAACCCTTTCAGAGAAGAAAGCATCTGCCCTTACCCATTCTCATTCCTGTGTTTACTACCATCGCCATTCCAAAAATGGATGACATCCATATTTGAATGGATGGATGATGACATACTCATACAAGGTATGAGCATGATGGAAGTGGGATGAGTATAAGGGGAAGAGGGATGAATATGAGGAGAAGAGTTGAATATGAAGGGTTGTACCAGTGGCCGAGGTAGCCACTCCTGACTTAAAAAGAGCCTGGTGGAGTGCCTAAGGCTCTCTAATATTCAGGTGGGTAGCTCAGGAAGTCGCTGAAGGAAGCCCCTCTTCCCCCTCAGATATGACTACCCGTAAATGTTTTTCAAAACTTATTGTGGTGCAGGCTTTCTGTAGATTCATACATTTACTTAGCAAATTTCCAGAAGATAAAGTTTGCAAGTATCTTTTACTTTCTTGATACAGCTAGAACAATCATATGTGCACATTTCCATGGTCTTTTTTTTATTATTATATATATATGAAGAATGACAACATGTTTATAAATGCTCATACATTCAGCAACACATGCATAAGCTATAGAGCATTCATTTCTGAACATTGACACAAAATACATAATTATAACCTCAAAAATAACATGGCACTATAGCAGTCCAGCTATAGTTTTATAAGTGCTGAGTAAGTTGGAAGCTGCTAAAGCACTGAAAGGCACTTACCTCAGTTTCTTCTTCAATCTCATGTGCAGCAGTCTGTAACAAGGCCTGGAGCGTATCAGCAGAGTACTGCCCACTTGTGGAATCTGCAACAAAGCAATACAAAATTACATCTTACTTTGCTCTAAATAGCTAGGGCACATGTTGATGGCATGCATACTGATAAATGACCTGCAATTTAAAACTGCTGAAATGGGCTAGAATGTCACATAGAAAAATAGAGCATTGAGTATTATGAAATGCCCATTCTGGATGCCACCTTGTTCGCTTTTCTGACTTGTGGCACTAATTACCCTCAGGAAAATAAAGAGGATGTACCAGTGGCCGAGGTAGGGGATGGAGGGGATGTTCCTGCAACGTTGGATTTGATATTCACCAGGAAAAAAGAAGATATATTTGGCATTCGGTACCTTTCCCCCTTGGGTAAAATGACCATGTCGTTTTGAGAATAAAGTACACAGTGTGATATAATCTGGAAGAGAATGAGGAAGTTGAAGCAGTTAAAAAACCTGATTTTTAAAAAGATATTATGGGGGAACCTAGAAAGTATTTTAAGGAATTTGATAGGAAATACTTGCTATTAGGCAAAGAAGTAAATGAGATGTATGTCAAGTTTTGTGAAATATACTGTATGATAAAAGGCAAAATGACTCATACCAAAACAGATGCAGAACTAGGAAACAGGATTGGTTCAACAGAAATTGTGAGAGGGTCAGACACCAAAAAGATACAAAAATGGAATCAGTATAGAAAGGCCAAACCCTCAACCATAACAATTTGTTTAATATTGGCTGATTTTCACCTTGTAACTTATAAATAATGGCAAATTCCCTGTATGTATACCTTAAGTACTTTGTTAGCTTGAAGATATTATGCCTGTTAATGGTTTTGCAAAAGTATATAAATAATTAGCATTTTTTCAAATAACATATGTTGTCATTTAAATAAATAAATACAAATTCAGTTTGTAGGTCAGTTTGAGTCAATGTTGAGTTAAAAATTACATTATTTAACTAATGACATGTGTTTCATTGTTTTTGTTAAACAATATAAGCATTTAATCTAAGTATTTGGATTATAAGTGAGGCCTATAGAGCTCCTAACATAGGTGTTCCAATATGGCGGCCACATATGGTCGAACTTTAGCCGTTCCTCACACTCTAGTCATTATAGCTCCGTGTCAGTACATCTTGCTGGATTCCCTCATCTCCGCTCCTAACTTCCATACCCCGTTTAAAATTACATTCACACATCTTCAAATTTTCTACACATAATTTTACAAGCATCATGCAGCGAAGCAGTAAGTAGCATACAAATAAATGATGATACAAATTGGAGAAGGTGTATAGGGAGAAGAGCTGGGGGGGGGGGAGGCGAGAGTAAACAAGAGCAGCAGCAGCAGCCGCCGCCACGCTCCCACTCTCACTCCCACAACTCTCCCACAGCTCTCCCACTCTCACCATGTCCCACGACGACAACCACGAAATGGAAGACGAGGTCGAGACCAAGAGCAAGGAAAAGAAGGTGGCCAAACACGACAGCGGAGCAGCTGACCTCGAGCGAGTCACCAATTATGCCGAAGAGAAGGAAATCAAATCCGATGCCAATTTCATGTCGGTGATTAATGATGTGAAAAGGCAAGATGAAGCAAACAAGGTATGTTCTGCTACCGAGGCGTTGGTTGTGGCCCCCAGTCACCTGTCAACCCTTTTATCCGCGTTTTGCCCGTACTGAGTGGTCGAGGCTAGGTGAGGCCAGTCATGGCGAGGCAAGTCTAGGCAACGTGAACCATGTGAGGCTAAGCAAGACAAGGTTAGGCTAAGCATGACAAGACAAGTCAAGTCAAGTCAAGGCAAGGTAAGGCTAAGCAAGACAAGTCAAGGTTAGGCAAGACATCAAGGTAAGGCTAAGCAAGACGTCAAGGTTAGGCTAAGCAAGACAATTCAAGATAAGGCTAAGCAAGACAAAGGTTAGGCTAGCAAGGTGAGTAATTACAAGACAAAGTTAAGCAAGGCGAACAATGACGACAAGGTTTAGGCTAAGCAAGGCGAGTAATGGCAAGACAAAGTTAGGATAAGCATGACGAGTAATGACAATTTTAAACTAAGCAAGGCGAATAATGGCAAGGCAAGGTTAGTAATGGCAAGAAAAGGTTTGGATCAAGCATCGTGAGTGAAGGCAAGTTTAATCATAGTGAGAGACAAGGTTAAGTTTTTAATTATTCAAGACTATGCAAGGAACAAATTGGAAAAGATGTTGCTTATCTGAAGCACAGTTCAGTATAAAATTGTTACAAAGAAATTAAAATGCTTTAGCATTCCGATGATGCCAAGATGTGTCATTAATGTCGTTATTAATACTGTACTGTACTTTAGACGGCACTAAAATGCATTATCCAGTTGCAAAACAAAAAACTAAATTTTTTTGTCACTTCCTGAAAAACAGAATTTGTTATGGAACTTGAGGTGGCCTAGTAAAGGGTTATGGTATTTATACCAGCACTGTTTATAGTACAATATAGTTCACAAACTCGACATAGTTTGAAGTGCCTTTAGTACTTGGAACACTTACTTTGGCAGCTCATCCTTCTGTTTAAAGTCTTTATAGTTACGATAAGGACCATCATACATGGGGGCCTGGTGGATAGCGCGGGTTCGATTCCCGCAGCAAGCAGAAACAAATGGGCAAAGTTTCTTTCACCCTGAATGCCCCTGTTACCTAGCAGTAAATAGGTACCTGGGAGTTAGTCATCTGTCATGGGCTGCTTCCTGGGGTGTGTATGTGTGGTGTGGAAAAAAAAAAAAAATAGTAAACAGTTGATTGACAGTTGAGAGGCGGGCCAAAAGAGCAAAGCTCAACCCCCACAAACACAACTAGGTGAATACATATATTGATGTAAAAGGCAATTAGAAATCGGTACTACTGAATTTGGACAAACTATAAAGTTTTTGTACTGATGTTGCAAAGAATGCTTAACCTAACCATCCTAAGGCCTAATATAGTACATGTACTGTACAGTATATGCTATACTAGACCTAGAAATGTAATTTTGGTTTTTAGCTTGTACCAAATTCTAGAATATAATTGTTCATTACATTTATATGTATGATGGTCCATATAGTTACAAAATGTACTATCTAAACAAGAGGATGGGTTGAACTTAGCTACTTGAAGAGCTCACCCAAGAGGGAAGTAAAAATACATTGCTGTATCATGCTCATTTGTTTAATACAGTACTGCTGTATTACAGCAAAAGTTTGATGCTATGAACATAATACAAAATACATTTCTGCATCTTGTATTTTAATGATTCCAGGCAAAAACAAAAATGTCAGCTGTATGTGGTTAATGTGTCAACATAATTTATTTGAACCATTTGACTGAGTTAAGCAACAGCAGTTTATTATAAAATAAATGCCCCTGGAATATGTTAGACACGAAGTCAATGTATGTAGAAAACCATTTACAAATCATTAATGTTCAATCAAGTGTTATGAATTTCAGGACAGGCCTGAACCCAGTAAATACTAACAGTTGGTGGCAAAATAAAATGTCACTGCAAGCTTTTGCACTAAAAACTGTCAAATGTTTTCTTACACTAGTATTTCAAGCCTATACTTTATTAATTAAGGTACAGTACTATGTAATTTTGAATACTGTATTGCAACATGTACCTATATACAATAAATATTGTAAATCTACTAAAATAGGTTTTAAGCTTGGAAGGTGTTTTTCTTTGAAACATATACATACAAATCTTTTAAAAAGACTTTTCATCATTTTTCTGTACTATAATGATTAATAGTAAGTATAAAAAAAAGAGCAGTGTAATTTATATTTTCTTTCCTTGTCCTCTTACTTGATCATATTGTTACCCCCTTTAAAACTAATATTTTTTTTTTGGTTCCTAATTATAAAAAAAATTCCATATACTTAATCACATGCATATTTTTATTCCATAGTAGCTGCATTATGGTGCTTCGTATTTCATAGTTTTCTAATTTTGTTTCATTACAGTTAGCAAAGGAGCAAGAGCTAGCCAAGGTTTCCATTAAAAAGGAAGATGTTGAGTTGATTATGAGGGAACTTGAAATTCCCAAAGTGAAGGCTGAAAGAGCACTCAGAGAGCATCAAGGCAATCTTATTGAAACACTAGTCACACTTACCAACTAAATATGCATTACTGTACTTAATTCACCGTCATTATTAAAAAATGGATTAACTACTGTAACTTGTTTTATTCTCCAAAGAAATGTCTAAAGCATTCAGAAACATTACCATCATATTAACTACATTAAATTTATATTTCCCAATAATATAGAATATTGTAATAAAATGCATTTTAATGTTTTTTTAATTTGTCACGTATGCTTCATAATATTTATTTTACCAAATATAATATGTATACAGTATTTTAAAGTTGAAGTTGAGACACTGGGACTAAAACACAAATTGTATAACTAAGAAGTGTACACTGGGACCTCGTTCAAAGGAAATACTATATATCTGATGTATATCATTGAGTGTGGAATTAGTTCATCCACTAGAGTAAAAAGCAGATTTTTTTTAAGTTTTGAACTGCCTGTACAAGTATGTAGATCATTTCAATCCTCAACCAGTTTCCCCTCCAATTTTGCTACTTGGTTAATCATTCCCAGAGGACACCTCGTAAAAAGTTCAACACCAGGTATGGTGCTAAATAGTCTTCCTGACTTCGTACATTTTTTTTAATTACTTACCGGGTCTAATATAGATGGTAGGTCCTCTTGTTGGCTCTGTAAAATTGCTGGACACTATATCACACAGTTGATGAAACATGAGCGAGGATCATTCATTGTATCTAGTTTTTGTCTAGAAATGTCTAGTCTTAATTTTGCATTTAAAATTCCCGAGTATAGTATTCGAACCATAATGATTGCTTGCCTTGCCATTGTAGTTGCCCTTTTGAATACTTTCTGGCCGGCTTTGTTGCATTTGTCATAGTCAATGCATGGCCGTCTATTACATAGGGGGTTATTTACAACCCCCTCTTCCCTTGTTATTATCTTCATTTTCTCCACTGTTGGCATACCTAATATGTAGTCCTGTTGGTTGTTTATCTCCAAAATATCTATATCAATATATTGTAGAGCTATTAGTGGTATAAAAATAATACAATAATATTTAAAAATCAACTTGGATAACCATATTACACCTTGAATCAACAAACGATGATGACTGCATTTTAAGGGTTAAAACTATCTGCTATAAACGATGCCTGGAATTACTTGCCCATGCATCAGCATAAACCAAGAAATTTTCTTCAGGTATAAATGTAATTTTTTATTAACATCTGGGGTATCAGAGAACTCAATGCAATGTCATACAAGAATATTCTTAAGCTATTGAACTTTCTCTCTGCATCAGCATAGAAATTTAACTTATATGATTTCTCAATAAATCCAACTGGGTCTCTTCCCTAGCCAGAGACTGGTAACATCCAAAACACTGTTTATACATTGGGCTCTCACTGACATTTTTGCTTGGCATCTAACTACAGTACTTCACATACCATGCTCTGCATATACTGATTCGATTAACTTGACAATTTTGAAAGTTTTGTTATTGAAGGGTTAAAAGTGGGAGAGTCTGGCTTGTGAGCATCAGCCTTGTTGGTTCCTCTAGCACTGGCTAGAGGAACAACCATGTGGCAACGTAGAAATGAGCATTTAAATTATATCGACACTTATTTTGTTCATTCAATTTAGGAAGACTCGTGCACACAAAAATATTGTATCTAGACTATACGTAATATACTTACCAATTTCTCCTTTCAATGCATTAACCTCTTCAGACAACTTAGCAGCTTCTTCATATTTTGAGATTAGGTTCTGCTTTGCCTGAAAAAAAAAGGGGGGAGGGGGGTGTTTGTAGTACAGTACAATGGAACCTCGGTGTATAATTGCACCCGAATACAAATTTTCCGGGGTACGGTGAAAATTGTTAGAAAATATGCCCTGGTGTACGAGTTCACTAAAGGGTATGAACCGCTCGTTCATACTTGTTCGAGTCAGTGAGATAAATTTTCGCCTGTATCCCGCCTAGCGATAACTGCACTTAAAATTCTGTGAACAATTTCATAGTTTTTATGTTTTTTGTTGCTTAACATAAAATCTTATTATATATCATGCCATGGGTTCCAAGAAAGTCAGTGATACAGTTCAACCTAAGAAAATAGTTGTGAGGATGACGATAGAGGAAAAAGTGATAATTCATAGTGAGGCAATGTGATGTCTCACTACAGACAAGTGTTAAAATGTAGGGAAAAAACAAGTGTCTATAGACAGATTCTTAATACAATAAGCAAGCAGTGAGCCACAACCAGGTCCTAGTGGTATGCCTGCAAAACTTCCCGAGACTAATGTCCCTGCGGAATACTTTGCAGGAACATGACTGACGTCTCACCTCAAAATATATAATACTACAGAATAAAAACTTAAAATGCAAATGCTCTGAAATCTTCCACTATAGGGTTGAAAAGCTTGAAATTGTTACTGTACAGAACAACACACTATAAAGCATTTTAAAATAGATTGACTATTACTCATTTAAATGATAAATTATTACCTGTGACAATTTAGGCTCGAGAGATAAATTAAATTCTGCCAAGGATTTGTTAGCTGCCAGTAACATTTCTTGTTCACTTGCTAAGTTCTTCATCTGGGAAAGAAGAAAATATATAGTTACTATAAGTGTGGTTATCTTCATTATTGTACTGTCTCATACATAAAATTACTTGCTACGTAGTAACATTCCCAGGCATAACAGTTAGACATTATAAGAATACAGTACAGTATATTCAAATAGTGTACATTTCTGTCAGTGAATTGGTTTTAGTGGGTGGATTAGAGTTGGTGGGTGTGTGTAAGCATGAATAGATGGGAGAGTGGAAGAGGTTATGAAGGCGAGTGGATGCGAGTGAACATTTGTGGTATCTCATCTTCCCAGTACAGTACTCTGTCGTATAATGCTTTGAAACAACTCTCAGTTTTAGTATCCACCATCTTCTCGCTGAACTTGTTTCAACCGTCTACTGCTCTGTTTGCAAAATTGAACTTTCTAATGTCTTTTGGCAGCTTTGTTTCCTTAGTTAGAATCTATGACCTCTTGTTCTTGAAGTTCCAGGTATCAAGAATTCTTCTTTGTCAATTCCTGTTACTACATATTTTGCATGTAGTGATCATATCACCTCTTTCTTCTTTCTTCTAGCTTTCATATACAATACTGTATTTAATACCTCTAGCATCTCCTCATAGCTCTGTTTTTTAGTATATACTGAATAATTAGAGGCATATTTATAAAGTTGTAAAGGAGCAACTTCCCCTCTCCCCTGACAGATCTGTTATGCATCTTGGCAGCATTCTTGCCAAGTTCAGTTGTTACATTCTCTGTTAACAATTGCCATATATGACCTCTATAGCATCCTATAGCTTAGGGCCTCACCTTGACTAAATATGGCTCTGGTGAGAGTGGAGGTGTGTAGACTGAGAAGCAAGTCCTTGGGTCTTTTTTTCCGAGTGAACAAGAAAGCATACAGTGAATGCATGTACAGCATATACAAATAATGAGCACAATTTAAATCATTGGTCACTAAATGAAAATCATACGTCAAAAACATATTGCATAAAAGCGTGTTATATATATGGGTCAACTGTATAACATTGTAAACAGAAATACTGTACTGAATAGTATTTCTGTTATTACTATTATTACTAGTTGCTGTTGTGGATGATTTTGTCATGAAATGGTGCTCGTTTCTCTGCAATGTTTTATAGTGTGACTAAAATAATGAATAGAGGAGTGCTTTGGGCTTGGTTTCCCAATACTGGGGAACAGGAACTTATTAGACTTATCGAGGTCCCACTAGCCAACATGTCTGCCCATGTGATCACTAAACGGTTACTATGCAGACCAAATGGTATTTAACTGATGTGAGTTGCACATCATCCATTTTACCAAATATGATCTTCTTTCCCAACACATCCCTAAATTTTCTTGGCTGATACCTCCCCACACTATGAAAGTGGGGAATGGGTTAATGATGATGATCATCATTATAAAATACAAAATAAAGTAGACTGGTCTGTAAATGTATATAAAATAGAACATGCCTGTGGTAAGTCCTTCATAAGTTCTGAAAGTTTATCATCATTGTTCACAAGATCACGAAGTTCCTCTGTAGGAAGGTGTTTGATGAGCCCAAGAGCAGCTCCATAGTCTGGTTCAGCCGACATCATTCCTGGAAAACATCAACTAAAATTAAATTAACTACAAATAGAATTTAAAGGGAGGTGTAATGTTAATGACAGGTTTGGACAATAAACACAATATGGTAACAAGATACAGTATATATTTGAAGTAAATTATTACAGTGGTGGTGGTCATATACTACTACAGCATCAGGAAAAGATGAGCCATAAAGTGCAGCTGTTGAGTGTTATGGCAGCAGAGATGGTGATAGCTTGTTGTATAATGTGACAGTGTCGTGACAAGTCATCAGGTGCAGCTATTGAGGCAGAGACTAAGTTGGTGGGACCAAGGCTCTTAACCCCTGCACTGTGCATCTGTTTTTGGCAAAAACTTCATAGTGCAATTGTTAAAGACATATTTTTGTTGTTTTATAAATGTTCAGGTAAAGTTAGTGTTAAAATGTTTCCAAACTCCACCATTTTCATTTCAGATCACAAAGAGTGATGAAAACATTAAAAAACATTAAAATACAGCCTAATTAAAACAAAACAAAATTATCAGAGCATCTTAAGATACACTGTGCATTTGAGTGGTTAAGAAGTAATGTTGCTTCTGGCTGCCATGTTAAAAAGACTGCCTGGATGCTGTGGTTCGAAGGCCTTATATTCCTGTCCACATGACTTGGTTTAGACCACGGCTACTCGTTGATTAACTGATGGGATATGCTCGCTTCAAGGAAATGTGCAGTTGTTTATAACACACAGAATTCTTGGGAATGTGCAGACATTGTTCTGGGGGGACCGGGGCTTCCCCCAGAAAAGTCCACTCATGGATGTCAACCAACAAACTCACACTAAACAGAAAAAACCTACTACATTTTACTTGGAAGTAAAATCATTACACCAAATTCACCTTCAGATAAATAATGTTAACATTAAAAATGATGGTAAAAGTCCCTTGGCTTATACACAGACAAGAGACTAAACTTCAGCACCCACATACAACACAGTCAAAAAGTCTCTCCAAAACTGTTGATATACAGTACAGTAGTACCCCCTAAAATCACATTATGTTCCCCACTCTGCTTTCCTTTTACTATGCTACTCACTAATCTATCCCTATCTTACATTCGGTATCTGTGCATGGGGTTCAACCACTGCAAATTACCTCAAGCTCATCATCACTCGACAAAAATCTGCAATCAGAACTATAACAAACTGTTGTCAGACAACTCACAGCCCCTCTGTTTAAATCCCTAAACATGCAAAACACACTCCATACATTCTCTTGTGTTGTTTACATATTCAAAACCTTCCTAAAATGTTAATCCTGATCCGAAACTCTTCCTTGACAGATGTAATAGAACCCATGAGCACCACACCAATAATTTTTTTTTTAATTCATTGTGTCAGGGGGACAGGAAGCCAGAGTGTATTCATACATGGTAGACTTATATCAAAGGCCCCCCCCCCTCCCGAGGCCGAATTACTGACCCCACCCAGGATGCAGCCCCATAACAAGCTTAATAACTCCCAAGTACCTACTCACTGTTAGGTGAATAGAGGCATTAAGTGAAAGGAAATGTGCCCATGATTCGATCCCAGAATTCTCGATTGTGTGTCGAGAACGAACCCGACTGTACTACGGGGACCCTTAAACTATAAAGATAAATACTGTACTGGTATCTCTTTGATATTCCTAGAATTAGGCTAAATCTGGGCAAACACTCCATGCAAATAAAAGGACCCAGTGTATGGAACTCACTCCATAATGAATTACAAAGTTGTCCAACCTATACTTTATTCAAAAGTAAAAGCAAAAATTAAAATTAAAAATTAAAACCTAATTTCATCCTTATTGTTTCCTACCTTGTGCTACCTCACTCGCCCAATTTAATACTGCACGTAAGACATTCAACTTCATCAATATGAACTATTATATCAACTTATAATGTAGTTATTATATTTAACTTAAATTCTGTTGCCTTTATTCTTTAACTTAAGGACCTGCCTGAAACAGTGTGTTAGTGGCTTTGCATGAATGTTACACTTAAACCCCCAATGTATGCTCTGTACTTTCTTAATCTATAATATAATAATCATTTTTATTCAAACGAATGGGTGTACAAAGAACATAAGAGTAGTGGACAATTGTAGAGACAGGAGTTACACATACCTGTACTAATGAAGCCACCATTACGCAAAACGTTTCGGGCAAGATCAATTCAGGCTAATGTATCATCTTGTATATAAATAAACTAAAATAAAATAAAAAATCTGGTTGGAAAAAACTCAAGAAAAAAATAGGACCTCTTGACAAGATGCTGACTTCCTGTCCCAGTCATGACCACTAAATAGATGTTGGCCCTCATATAAAATTCAGGTAAATACTACAGATATAGAATATAGATAAGAGATACAAGTCACATTATATGCTAGATGGTTTGCCAGCTTATCAAACCCACCTTAACCTAGGCTAACCTATCTTAATCTAAAGATATATACGGTTTGCACAAAGCTTTGTGTTAAGGACCGTGTGCTATATGACTGTCCCCCACACCTGGTGGTACAGAATGTGTGTGGGAGGACAGGTTGTGTACAGGACACAACAGGCGAGGCTTGTGGTCATTACACTGCGTGTGTAACGTCATGTAGTGGCCAGTCTGACAGCAAAGGGTGAATAACATTGACCAGGACACTGTAGGAAGCCCTCGGCCACTGCCCTGAGTGTTTCCTTCCTTAAGTGACTGCCACCAACCTGACGTCGAGGGCCCGAGTGTTGACACTGTGTGACACTCAATTGTCACCCCGTTGGACGCAGCCGTGTTTACTCATGCTAATATATAATATACACCATACCACCTCCCCCTCACGATTTTATTTACTTTATAAATATATTTATATATTTATTTATTAAATTCACTTATTTATTTAATCATATACAAGAAGGTACATTGGGTTGTGAGAGCACATAACATTGTTCTTACATTCTTGCAAAGCCACCAATACGCGCAGCGTTTCGGACAGGTCCTTATTATTTTTACTAAATATAAGAATAATAATAATAATAATGCTTATTTGGGGAAAAGTAAATACATACAAAAATACCTACAAGTAGAATGTTGTATTTCTAGATAAAGTTAGTATATGTTAAGGTATATTAAATATATCCCCCCCTCCCCCCCGATTCTCGATTGAGAGCCGCAGCCCGTCCTCCAAACAAAGACCCAAAAGTGATTCCATGCACCTGCCATACCCCCTGTTTATGAATGAAAAGCGGTTTACACACGACTCACAACTGCTGACGTTCGAACATATCCGGAACAAGTGTTTCACTGACGAATTTTGTTCGAATCACAACGCTATAAATGCTTCACCCACGTACTACAAATACAAATAATTGCCAACAGAACCTAAACACCTAACCTATGCCTATATATGCACAATATGCTAATATATTATAATATTAATTTATACTTGAGAAAATTCCCGTTTTGAATGAACAGCATATTAAAATTTATGAATGCGTCTGTGGGGTCGACCACTGGATGTAATGGACTTTAGTCGAGGACAGGTTGTTCTCTGACGACTTTTGTTCGAACCACAACGCTGTAAACAACCCGTCCTCACTCCAGTCCATTCAGCCCGTCCTCCAAACAAAGATCCAAAAGTGATTCCATGCACCCGCCAAACCCCCTGTTTATGAATGAAAAGCCGTTTACACATGACTCACAACTGCTGACGTTCGAACATATCCGGAACAAGTGCTTCACTGACGAATTTTGTTCGAACCACAACGCTATAAATGCTTCACCCACGTACTACAAATACAAATAATCGCCAACAGAACCTAAACACCTAACCTAACCTATCCTATGCCTATATATGCACAATATGTTAATATATTTTAATATTAATTTATACTTGAGAAAATTCCCGTTTTGAATGAACAGCATGTTAAAATTTATGAATGCGTCTGTGGGGTTGACCGCTGTATGTAATGGACTTGAGTCGAGGACGGGTTGGTCCATTACATCCAGCGGTCGACCCCACAGACGTAGTCATAAATTTTTACACGCTGTTCACTCAAAACGGGAATTTTCTCGAATATAAATTAATATTATAGTATCTTAGCATATTGTGCATATATAGGCATAGGTTAGGTTAGGTGTTTAAATTCTGTTGGCAATTATTTGTATTTGTAGTACGTGAGTGAAGCATTTATAGCGTTGTGGTTCGAACAAAATTCGTCAGTGAAGCACTTGTTCCGGAAGTGTTGAAACGAAATCAGTTACGAGTCGTATGTAAATCGTTTGTCATTGATAAATCTGGGGTTTGATGGGTGCATGGAATCACTTTTGAGTCTGTGGATGACGGGCTGGGGATCCCTGGATTTGAAGGTTCTTGTAATCCATCGTATCATTTTTCTTCCTGATTCAATAATTGCTTTGTTATGCTCCCTAAACATCAGATGTCATCAGGTCGTCAGACACCATTCCAAATACTTTGCATACTGCTTTCCTAATATAGGCACATTTGATTGTGTTTTGAGCCCTGTACTTTGTTTAAGGTCTTCAATTTTATCATACCTGAGTGCCTGAAATGTATCACTGTTAAACATCACGTTATTCTCTGCTCCCCAGTCAAAAACTTTATTAATATACTGTATGTGTTTAGCTTTTCAATAGCTTCAGCAGAGGTAATTTTGATGCTGATTTTTGTGTCATCTGCAAAGGATGATACGAAGCTGTGACTTGTATTTTTGTCTATAGCTGATATGATAAAAAGGAAAGCAGTGGTGCAAGGACTGTACCCTGCGGTACAGAGCTTTTAACTGCACTTAGACTCTATTTTATTTGGTTGACTGTTACTCTTTGTTCTCGGTTCGACAGAAAATTGAATATCCACCGTCCTACTTCACCTGTTATTCCCATTGACTTCATTTTGTGTGCTATTACTCCATGGTCACATTTATCAAATGTCTTTGGGAAGTCTGTGAATACCACATCTGCATTTTGTTTTTCTTCTATTGCCTCAGTTATTTTGTCATAGTGGTCAAGTAGCTGTGAGAGGCATGATCTTCCCGCTCTAAATCCATGTTGGCCTGGATTATGAAGGTCATTGGTTTCCATGAAACTAGTGACCTGACTCCTGCTCACTCTCTCAAACACTTTCATTATGTGGGACATAAGTGCAACTGGTCTATAATTCTTAGCCAATGCTCTGCTCCCTCCATTGTGTAGAGGAGCTATGTCTGCTGATTAAAGCAAATCTGTTATCTCCCATGTGTACAAGCTCTTCTGCCACATTACACAGTGCCTGTGATACTGGCAACTTGTATTTCTTTATAAATATTGAATTCCATGAATTTGGACCCGGGGTCAAGTACATGGGTTTATCAATTTCTTTCAAAATCTTCCATGCTTATGCTGATATCATTTATATTTTCAGGGGATTGGATAACATGCATAAAGAAAGAATATGCTTCGGAAGTCAGTTGTTCTATTCCTTGTGTGGGATTTTTATTACTTGGAACAATTTCCCATTGAATGTTTGTAAGTACCCTATTTATTTTGTCCCAGTCTATCCTTTTATCATTAAAATTGAATTTACTGAATAACCCCTCTTGCTTTATAATTGTTTTAGGTTTATTATGAGTATTGATGTTAGTTTGCATTTCAATGAGCTTGTGATCTAAGTGCATCATGAAGTAATGAGCAATAGTAATAGTACAGTAGTAGTTACTGAAAAGAAGCAGGAGTAAAAAAAATAGGAGTTTGGGTTGCAAAGGCCAACAACCTCACAGATTAGATAATCCTGTGGGAACAGAACAACTCTTGAATCAAATCAATAGGCACCATAAGAGAGGGTTCTATTGCAAACCAACAACTTGTTGCTTGGTTGCAATTTTGTAGGTAAAAGTATCAGTAAGGGCTTTCAACATAATAAGCATTTGGCAGCTTGTCTCCACTGACCAAGGCAGTACCAAATGGGCCATCTGTTCATTCAAGAGAGCAAATGTTACAAAACAATAAAATATTATAACAAAATGTCTGTTCTCAAGGTGAAAGTAATATTCTTGAATCGCACTCCACCCTGTGAATTATTTTGTGCCCAGAAGTTTAGCATTAACACCAGAATGTTACATGCACAAAACTCCTTTTTAAAATACTTCTTTGGAGGACACCTAAAACCACTATTGCAAGTTCCCTATGAGGGTGAAGCGAAAAAATATAAATGATAAATTGTATTTTTGGAAGAATTTGATATATCATTGGTTAAATCTAAGAATAATGTTTACTTGGAAACAGGAAGAGTTGGTTTAGACTAGGTCTTTGATGTATCTTTGTACATACACCCACAATTACCTGTCACTACCATGAACATCTCTCTTTTCTTCGAGTTTAAAGTACTACTATAGTTGAATGGGAACAGAATTTATGATTATCAATAAAATACAGCACTACATAAGGTTAGAAATACAAGGTCATCAAACAAATCACATATTTATTGACAAGTTTCCGAGAGAAAAAGAATATGTGAAAGATGTACAAAAATATATATTGCTAGATTCACATCATTCACATTATTGACTAACAACAGTATGGGTTAAAAAATGTTCCTCATCTGTTGGAGAAATATATCCATTTCATTATCAATGACAAAGAAATGCCTAACTAAAATATGGCTATTCAAAAACTATTTTCAAATAGTATGTATAAAATCATGCCTGCTCAATGCAGAATCAAATTTCATAATCATTGCAAAAATACCCTTTTGAGCTGAAGAATGTCATATAAAACTCTTCAAGCATAATAAAGCAGTTATGACAAGAGATGATTGTGGATTGTTTATTTCACAGTATATTGCACTATGGCTCCACTATCCCCCCCTCCTCATGTTAACATGACATGGCATATCTGCTTTGTTTTGTGGTATCACATCTAAAGAACCATGTAATATAACACACACTTTCAACACAAATGGTACCCCGAACAAAGCTCTTCATTTTCCATTGTCATTTCTTTTGATAAATATGTACCAACACAACCAATATGACCTACAACCAGCAATTTCTACTATCAAATAAGTAAACATATAATGATCAATTAATAACTTTGGCTATAATGCCCCAAAAGGAATTACATAATATATGACTGAGTATTGCTTGAGAACATTAAGTGGTAGTAAATAATCAGAAAATAAATAGGAAACCAATTATAGTAAGTACTACCAGCAGGCAAAGTGTCACATATATTTTGATTACCAACTACAATATATTACAACAAATCTAATTTTTGAGAAGTATAAGTAGTGCATGCATAGCATGAAACAATATAACGTAGGCTTACTGTTCATTTGTAATCAATATTAACTCAAGAGAAAACATTGCACCATTTTACATGTTATACCAAAATACACAATTCATCTAGGTATATATCTAAAAATTAACAAACTTATACATCAGAATTCAGCAGATAACCAATTTATAGATATTTTCATTTTTATTTCACTGTAATGTTGTGACCCACAGTATGTTCAGTCGTGCATTACAACTCCTACATAATATTGGAATCTTGAATGTCTAGGAATAATATACAAACCATAAATGCCATAAGAAGACAGTGTGTGAACTTTGTGCATGTACATGTATGCTAGGGATATACACTAGTATATACATCATACCTAATAACCAGAACTGCACTACTTTGCCAAGTAAATAAGGCCCTATTTTGCCTAACAGCTAGAGCAATTTTTAAAAATTCATATGTTTCTCTCTAAATTAGCTCACCCATAATAATATTAACATTATATCAACAATTAACAACCTGAATTAGTCTAGTCTTTACATAGATCTAGTTTTACATGTTAGGAAGTATTGACAAATAATAGGCATACAATATATAGGTTAGGTCAGGTTTCCAAGTTTTGACTCGAAAGAAAATCCTAATGCAAGGCAGGGCTATTTCATTTGAATTTCCCACCTGCTTTATTTTGAAAATACTGTAAGGGACAGTTTGTGAGCTACCCTGCTTGTAAGAATAGCAGGGGAAAACTAGGCCTGCTAGGTACTTTATTATTATATTAATGAAGTGAAGGTTTTTTTGTTGCCAACTCTCTCCGTTATAGATTCAAAATATCAAATGCCAGAATGGAGCACAAATTATAATACAATGTTACTTTCAGTAATACATTTAGATTATAAAAACTTAAAACAATATGGGGACACTACATATGAAGCACACAATATTAGGTTACCCCAGCCTTACAAAACAGAGAGTACTCCTCACACACTTCCATACATGTGCAATGCCAAGTTATGGAATGTGGAATAGGAGAAAATAGACCATACATAGCCTACAAATTGTGAAAAATCCTTAAACAAAATTACGATAAAGAAAAATCTAGGGGGGTTCTAGATAAAAAAAAAAAAAAAAAAAATCACCACCTAAGGACCACAAAGAACATAGTGCAAGGAGCCTATGCTACACTTTCCAATGTCAGAACATGGACAGTCAAATACCAAAGAAATGGTCCACAACCTCTGAGTCCAAAGATGGTATATGCAGCAGTTCTATGGTTATCTTGAGATAATTTCGGGGCTTAGCATCCCTGCGGCCCGGTCTTCAACCAGGCCTCCTTTTTGTTATACACCCCCAGGAAGCAGCCCATAGCAGGTGTCTAACTCCCAGGTACCTATTTACTGCTAGGTGTACAAGGGCATCAGGGTGAAAGAAACTCTGCCCATTTGTTTCCGCCTCCACCGGGGATCAAACCCGGAACCTCAGGACTATGAATCCGAAGCGCTGTCCACTCAGCTGACAGGCCCCCCGGTGCTGGTGCCCATATCTTAAGAAGCACATCAACAAACTCAAAAAAGGTGCAAAGACATGCAACTAAATGGCAGCCGGAATTGAAGGACAGGAGCCATATGCATTTAGGCATATAAATATGCCAAAACTAGAAGATTGAAGAAAAAGAGGCGATATGATCACTACGTACAAAATAGTAACAGGAATTGACAAAATTGATAGGGAAGAATTTCGGAGACCTGGAAATTCAAGAACAAGAGGTCGTAAATTTGAAGTAACGAACAATAATATAAATATAAAACTTTTAAAAATATAAAACCGTTTTATAAATATAACAATTATAAATATAAAACTTTTATTTTCTAAAAATTTGTCTTGTTAGGCAACTCTGCCTATTAAGTACCAACACATGTATATGTGTAGTAATAAGTGTACATGTGTGTGTGTGTGCGTGTGTATATAAATATGAAACTATGTATGTATAAACAGTATAAGTACAATATCTGGGTGTTGTTCATATACTGTAACTAATAGCCAAAGTTTGCTAACAAGCCAAAATTCCTTAAATATAAAAAGTTAAACAAATTGTCAGTTTTGATAGATATTTTAAAATTAATTTACTGTATGTGATATAGATTACATTTACTTTGAAGCAAAACTAACTTAGTAACCTGCCTAAGCAATGGAAAATTATGCCTAAATAAATTAGTAATTATTATCAATCTGTTCATTTCATTAAAATCAGAATTTTAAAAGACAATTAAAAAATACAAGGGTTGACAGTGCAGTTCTGGCTATTTGAAAATCAAACTGATAATATTCGAGTGAATTAGTGTCTATTTTAACACATCCTCAGTAGTAGTTGTAATGATAAATGGGAGAAAAAGACAGTACTGTATTTGTATTTGATATATCACGTTATTATGATTTCTGTGTATACAGCACAGTACTTTATATATAGAATGATGATGAAAATGACAGGTTAAGTGTAGAAGCATACACTGTAAGGAATAAAACTAAGTGTAGGATATAAGCTGGAATAAGGTCATGTCACCTTTCATGGATGATGCACCTTACTGGAATACTTGTCCAGTAATGCTCTTCATTTTTTTTTAGTAAACAAATTGAAAATGTAATCAGAATGTACATGATACTGTGATGTACATATATCATAGCAGATTCAATAATATACACAATTTTCATTCCTTGTAAATATACAGTACAATATTGGTTTGTCTTATTATTTCTTCCAAGGGTGTGTTACAACAAAAAATTATTTCATGTTTCACTTTCCTTCATGGTATACATATATATATATATATTTATTTTAGACATTGTACACAGATACCACTACAGTATACTGTATTTATTTTGTCTTAAAATATAATGAAAAGTAAAGATACCAATAATATACAAGTAGGGCTGCTGGAAGTCATACCTCAGGCACTTCTCTATATATCTGTAACTACTAACTGGGAGCAGCATTGGACTGGTCAGTGGAGCACTGAGGTAGCAGGTACATATTTGCGGGTCAAGTCCGCCTCAGGTTACTGAGGTAGTTAGCTGGCCAAATGTACATTCCACTGGCTGATAAATTAATTTTGGTGACCATTCAAATAAGTAGCATAATTCTAATTGTAACTCGAGTACAATTAGGACCAATAAAAACAACACCAAATCTTGTTTTCAACAATTTGAGCCAGAAACTATTACACTCAAAAGTCATACTGTCATGGAATTTATTTATATGCAAGATTAATCTTAATTATCTACATCATCTATCCTTTCTGGGGAAAGCCCCTAGTGACTCCCTGAAGCTACTATCATTGATAATGTGCCAGCTACTAGATCGCATCAGCCACAGAATTCTATATGGACTACTGGGGGCCAAGAGCCAGAACCTGGTCCTCTCATACATGCATAGGGAGTAGTGGCATTTATATATTTATTATGTCATCACAGGAAAGGCACCCAGAAAGTCAGCAAAACAAAACAAACCACAGCTGGCTTTAGAAAAGACCAAAGCTTTAAGAACCGACAGAAGAACTCCCTGAAGAATGTAAATAAATGATCAAAAGGTTTTAAAACTAGTTCTCGAGGGAGTTCTTCTGGTGGTTCTTGAGGTTTTGGTCTTTTCTAAAACCAGCTATGGTCTGTTTAGTTTTACCGACTTTCTGGGTATGGTATGCTCCATGCACCTCTGTGAGCGGACCAGGTTCTGGCTCTGTCTCCAGTACGCCCTACAGAACTTCATGGCTGATGTGACCTAGTAGTTGGTACACTATCAGTGATAGTAGATTCAGGGAGCCTCCGGGGCTCATCCAGAAATTGGCTTTTCATTTCATTCGACACACTGGGTTTTTTAATGGTGTATTAAGTTATACTCAACACACTGAAAATTCACAGATATAATGTTTATCTTACAAATTACAACTAATTTTACAGTGCCATAAATTACCATCTGCATTAAGTGCTTAGTCTTGTTATAGATCCAATTTCACTTATTATAACATTACACATTTAAATTACTTTTAAATTGGCATGTCCTATATCAATAGGTTATAGAGTATTACACATTAATTACTTTAATGCAAGTCACAATTATAGAAGACTGGTTTAATATCTTCTACAAATGTAGTTCCTGAAATATTTTTGCATTAGTGGAAAATTACAAAAATTTATTATCAGAAATGCACTCCTACATATAAATAACAACCTACAATATTTGGACAGTTATATAAAAATTCAGATTTGATGAGGAACCTATATTTTTTATCTTATATTTATTTTCATCAATAAATTATCAACACTATATCACATGAGTCAGGAAGTAAGAGCATTACAACCATTATGTCACGTTAACGTTCCTTCCCAAGCATCCAACCGCTGCTTTGCTGCTAACCTCTTGCGTGCTGTAACAAATTCAATCAAGAGCCATAAGTATATTGAAAGGAATACACTATAGTACGACTTCATTCAAACAAACCTCGCTCTACTGAAATCCTTCATTGGTTGTGCAAATTCATGTACATTAAAAAAATTAACAAATGTCTGTTTCTGTGAGGACTGCCCATTTAGTGAACCAAATCATTTAAAACAATAATACAGTATTTACAAAAGACCAGTGTTGAATGTAATGAAACACCAATTTTTGGGTGAGCACTGGTGGTTTTCTGAAGCTACTGTTTCCGATGTAGGTGCCAACTATTAGGGGCCATCAATCGCTGTTCTCAGGTCTTCTGTTTTCTGAAGGGAGCCCCTTGTGGCTCCATGAAGCTTACTACCCAAGAAGGAAGAAATGGTCACACACCAGGGAGGAGGGAACACCACAGGTATCAAAACGAACACCAAGACCGCTGGACAACAGAGCCGACCCAATGACATACAGTACAGTGGTAATGAAACCCGGGAACTCTATCCAAACATGGGCCCCCCAACAGCCCGCACGACCTGCCTAAACCTCCATGCCTGAACTAGCCAGGACAGAGACATGAGGACAGCCAAAAAATGGCAAACCCCCAAACCCCACAGGTGTGAGGAAAGACCACAGGCTGGCACGCAGGGAAACACTGCGGACAACTTGAAAATAAAAACCCTGGAACTGGGGACCTAGAAGACCAGAGCAACCCACAAGGCACCCACCGAGGCAGAACCAGTTGCACAAGGGCCGTGGCAGAAACCACCACCCGAGAACAGCTGAAGCACCCCTCACTGTACAAGCAAACCTCAATGATGCAAGGACTCTTCCAGAGGACAACCGACCCCATTGCAGTCAGAAAAGAAGGGGCCAGCAACAACAAGGAAACAGCCCAACAGGGCAAAAGGTCATGAACTGGAGCCAGAAGAGAGCACCAAGCTCGGGTACCAGCAACCAGAAACAAGCCGAACAGAAGGGGAAACCAACATGGAATGGAAAAGAGAAAAGAAGTAACGTGGGCCAGAGACCAAGCCAGCCCAGGCTGTGCAAAGCAGGTTGGGGGAAAAGAGCCAAGAAAGTGTCAACCCCAAATGCAAACCACATTGGTCCTGCCAGCACCGCAAGAATAAAGAACATGAGGTGACAGAGGAGGCATAAGATGCTGACAAAGAGAAGCTAAAAGAAAAAAAGAAGGAATCAGACAAAACTAAGGACAGCAAAGAGGATGAAAGAACTCGAAGAGGACGAAGGCTCGGTTGGAGATGCCTGGAACCTCCAGAAAGTAGGTAGGTATATAACACCACACACCACACTCTGCTGCCCCAAGGAAAACAACAGGTGGGATATCTCAACAAAACCACCCGAGTGCCAAAAACCCAAGAGACAAAGGCAGGCCATCACGACCCGAGCCAAGTGCGAGAAAATGTACTGGGCCAGAAACAGGCTAAGGGAGAATCTAGAAGCGGGAAACACCAGACCCTACCACAAATCTACCAACCGAAGGCTGATAGAATGACCCAAACGGCCCACAACTGTAGGACCAGAAGGAGGCAAACTGGGCATGCCACCCCCGCACCACAGTACCAACAGAAAAGAACCGCCAAAGGGCTGGCACGAACCCCGAGATGCCTCCTTGGAAGAACAGCACCAAACAAGATGCAGACAAGGCAGCAAAGACCCCGCCTGCCCAAACTGCCACACGCCAAAAAGGTGGCCCTCAATAGGACGACAGGGCCCAGGAGCAGAAAAATGAAACACCATAACTTCTGAGTAGAGGAGAGGTGGAAAAAAGGGCGAGGGCCTAAGCTGAATACTAGTGAGGTGACATAGTGAGGCCAAGAAGGATAAGTGGACTGGATCCTGGGTAGCAACCATATTAGCCTGGCCACAGGGAGTAGAAGAACTCCTGAAACCCTCTCCAGGTGAGCCATTAAGATGCAAGTCACATCCTAACCATATACTCAGTTAAACCACTCAGAAGAGTACAAGACTTGTGTAAATCTTTACATAAAATACACAAATACAGTACATAAAAGTAGGGGTCTTTATTTAATTTTTACTATATTAATTATTACTAAAAGATTTGTCTTACCTTTGGCATCTTTAAGTTTTTGTTTCTCTGCTTCACGAACCTCTCGTGAAATATTGACCTTCAATCCAAGAGCACCAGACACTAATCTCCGAGCTAGGGATGCAGAGGTGGCAGGACGGGGCTTGTATGGCAAAAGGGCCTCGGTGATGCGCATGGCTTTGGCCTTCGATGATTTTGTAGCCAGAGCTAGTGAACGAGTCTTCAAAAAAGGGTGGTCAACATCAAGAGCCTCAGCAGCTGAAAAAAAAATTACATTAATTATCTGGTCAGGTAAGAGTGTAAACAATAAAGGCCCATGCACGAATATGAAGAAACCAGCAGGTATGTATTCATACAACAGGTTGTGACAATCTTAAGGGGCCTGGTGCATGTGAAGACTTCAAAATATGAAATATAGTGAAAAATTTTAAACAAATCTCCCGTTATTTGGCATCAGCGTTGTGAAAATTTCATCCCAATATGTTTATATGTATTTTTTCTTGACTTCATTTCAGCACATATTGACCTACCACATGCCCAGCAGTCTTAATTAAAACTTACAAGATATGTCATAAATTATAAGTATTACATTCATTGTCGAGAACTTTAAATGCAATTTTTATCTGTGAACAAAATTTTCAACTTTGAGACAATTAAAACCTCAGTTTCTGACCGATTCTCACCATTTTTACATATTATGTGTAAAGTTCTTAGTTCTAAGGTTTCCTCTGAATCGTTTAGTCATAAAGCCATAACATTTGTAGTTATAAATATTTTGCATATAAATTTGGCACATATTTGGGTGGCCACATTCAAAAAATGAGAATGAACATTATATGCCATTCTGAGACCACAATAAATAAAATAACAATTGGTGACATTATAAGATATTTACATTAATTTGAAGTTATTTTATTTATTTTTTATTTTTTTTCCTTTCCATGGTATGATGTTGATCCAATTATCATGAAGATTATGCCACCCAAAAAAAAAAAAAATTGAGTGTGTTTGAGGAAGTTTGGTGCACATGCACCGGGCCTCCTTAAGAGAATTAGAACAAAGCTTATAATGATGAGAGATCTCAACTATGGGGAGAAGAACTGGCCAGGAACAAAACCCATGATAAACCCAAAACAGGTAGAATGATTGCACAGAGAAATCACATTAACGTGATGTATAGTGAGTGCCCAGTGTACAGGACCAAATCCACATCATGGCTTCTATTGATTTGCTCAGTTTGAGGTTTGTGAAAGCCACATTGAAACTATTGAACATAACATGTCAAGAGAAGACACAAGTTACCTTTGGCATCCCCGCGAGATGAGATAGGCATCTCCTTGATGGAGATGATAGGCTACATCTCATCTCCATCAAGGAGAAGATACACACACACAAACAATAAATAATGAAATTCCACTAGGAGCCAGCAACCACTGTTAAAATGAAAACCACAGCAAAGTGAGATGATCAGAGACCAGCATACAGACAAAAGGAGTACAAGAAAATATGGGAATTCCTGGAGAGAGTGCAGTATGATGCAAAACTTGGGTGACATGAATATGCGAGGCATAGTGAACTCAATATCTTAAGATAGATTCACTCCAACTCTAACAGACAAGTAAGTACACCAGCTCATGGTAAGACAGTGTCATGAAGCTAAACAGATCATAAGAGATACAGATAAGATTAGGACTGAGGATATATTCGTATGATTAATATGTTAAACAAGTTGAGGGTACTCACCAACAAGGCCAGTTGGAAATATTCCCAGTGCATGGGTGTCATCCACCCATTTTATGTCAAAGCCAGTATTTTGAAATGTGTTGAAAACCATCATCAAATCTTGAGTTTTGAAAGAGACAGGAAAATCATATATCTCTATGACGTGTGCATACTCTTCCTCATTTATTAGAGGCTCTTTGGGCTCAAAGGTATAATAATCATTTGCTGGTTTCTCTAACTTCACATCTCCAATAGTATCAGTAAGCTGACGCTTGATATCAGGATCAAGGCATTCCCCAGCATCATCGTATAGGTTGTCCCACGAATCTTCTTCTTCATCAGCCCAGTTGAAGGAAAATTTCTTGAGGTTCTTCTTTTCTTCCTTTTCTTCAGTCCCTAGTTCTTTAATCTCAATGTGAGTTTCTTTGGCATCATTGTCAGAGGTCATTTCCTCAGTTGAATCTTCGGTCGACTCTGTAGCCGTTTCTTCAGTTTTAGCCTCATAGAAGACTTCCTCTTCAGAAATTATTCCACTAGTCTGAAGATCAGAGACTTCATACTCAGAGGTATTTTGTTGATTGTTTAAGATGCTAGAATTTGGAACATTTTCCATACTTTTTTCCTTGTAATCTGATGATTCCACAGATTGACCTAAGTCAACAGAATTGGTGAAGGAATCTTCAATTTTCAAATTTTCTTCAATTTCATTTTTCAATCGAGTTCTTTTATTGCTTATAGGTGAATTCTGGATGGTATGTGGAGAAAGTTCATCAGTATTCTTGTGGTTATTTTTTCCATGGGTATCATCACTGCCTTGATGTAACTTATTAGGTATTTCTTGATCCATTTCATGACAGACATTTTTACTTATTTCACTGGATGAACTATGATCTATCGGATCAGATATACTACAACTACTATAACTATTTTCTAAAATTTTTAAATCGACAGAACATGGACGAGCCCCACTACCAGGAGTTTTGTGATGCTTAACTGGTAAGGTATGGCATCTCTTATTTTCCTCAATAACTTTTTTTGTTGGACTTTTTGTACTTTCACCAAAATCCAATGCAACATTTGGTAATGAGCCAAGTCTTCCAGTGGGTGGTTTGCCGGGTGAATTTCTAGTATGATAATATATAACAGATCCTTTGGCAGGACTTCCTGGATTTGAACCTCCTCTCCAGTTGTGACTAGGACTCTGCTGAGGCGTTCGTTCACGGCTTGAATTGCGGCTATGAGTACGACTATTATTAATACTACTGTAACGGTCGTAGTTGTCATAACCTCGGTCATACCGTTCAGGAGTTGTGTTGTAGTTACTGTTGTAAAAAACTCGCTCACAACTACCAAACCCTTTATCCCCTTGGCCATTATTAAACTGATCCCTATTGTTTGAGGTATGACATACAGAACCTTTTGTGCCTAAATTTTTGTCTGCATCATTATTATGGTCAACACTAGGTTCTCTACTATGGGAATGTCTCCTACGATGTCTTCTGCTCCTTCTTGACCGTTGACTAGACTCAACTGGATGAACTACATTTTCCTTACTATGCACACTGTGAATTTCTCGGGTTGGGGTAGGACTCTTCTGCGCACTACCCACATTATTGCTAAGCAATTTACTATTCTTTGGTGAAGGAGAATTATTAACAGAATCATTTTCCCAATGGGAATGCTCATTATGTCTTGTTTCAGAATCTTGATTTAGACAGCGTTCAATTAACTGGAGTGTTTGAGAATTAAACCGTCCTCCACCTTTGTTTCTACCATAACCTGGAGTCAATTCTCTACTTAAATCTCCCTTAGAAACTGGAGGCTTTCCTCTCACTTTTTCTGTTTCACCGTCATATACTGAAAACTGACTACCTTGACAGCTTCCCTGTTTGTTATATCTATTTTGTCCACTGAATTCTGAAACAACAGAACATACTGATAATGCAGGAGATGGAGGTCTTGGGATATGTTCATAGTCATGCATGGGTGTGGGCGTTTCACGCGCAGAACCTGTGTCTGTAGGGCCATGACGCCTTCCTCGGGGTATATACAATACCTGATCCGGTCGTCTACCTCTTCCTTTATTCAAATAATCTCCCCCAGTAGTCACATTGCTGCTTTCACTGTCAGTTCTTTGTCTGCTAGACGGTATTTGGTATGGATGATGATTGGCTTGTTGTTGATAATGGTTTTCCTGTGGGTATTGATTTCTGTGAGGATCCTGATAAGTATTAAATTGTTGATGTGGAAAGTGTTGCTGTCTGTGTTGATATGACTGTTGATGGTAGAAATACTGTTGTTGCTGCTGAAAGGAAGTGTTATCTTCTCTTGTGCTACGTGCAGGTGGTGGTCTGTAGATCTGTGCAGCTGCTTTACCTGCAATAAAAATATATATTTATTCTTTATTTGCTCTTTAATTAAGTTGCAAGATTTGTGAGTAAATAAGTACAACCTACCCAACATGAACCTTAGTCCTGGCGTTGTTGCTTCCCTTTCACAGTACATATCTTCCTGGTACATGAATAATATAGATTATATAGATTATATTCAACTTTGAAATAGTAGACCCAGTTCTAGCTGGGTCAGAACGTCTTCATATGGGTGTAATTACACTCATTCCATTTGTACCTTTCATTGTAATTGATGACGTTTATATAAATATATGAAGACGTTCTTCCTTCATGTTTTGTAAAAATTGTATAAGATTCTTATGGCCAATACCAAAAAAATGGTTGGTTGTCTGTATGTCCAGAAGTGATAATAATATCTTCATCATAAATTATATAAAGCCTGCTTTTGACTGTCTTGTCAATCAAGAGCTTATTTTTTTTTTAATTTTCTAAGAGCACAAGAGCCAGTAATTTTGTCTCTCCTACCCTGTTCAGAAAGTGCAAGTGAGTATACTGAGCAGTACTCAGGATGGGACAGCACCAGTGATTTAATTAGTATTAGCATTGCTGTGGGGTCTCTGAATTTTAATGTTCTCATAATCCATTCTGTCATTTTCCCTAACTGCCACTATATTTGCTTGGTTATGTTCACTAAATGTCAGGTTGTCAGGCATCATAAACCAACGAAGGGTCCACCACCAGAGGGGCCCCTCTAGAAGCCAACCGACTCATTCTATTAAGTCAATGATCATTCTAACAGATTACAGCGTTCATTCTTAAAGAAGGAAGCACTACTGTTTTCTAACTTTGACAGATGAAGGGCACCATGAGCCGTATAGGCACTGTATTACTTGTACAAATTTATACAAGACACGGACAAACATGAATCAAAGTCAGTAAAACTAAAATTGTAGAAACTGACCACGACGACGATTACTATCGGCATACTGCTCTGGAGGCATGGTTACTGGCATGTTCTCTGGAACACTGCTGCTTGATGACCAACACTGATCTTCTTCGCCAATTTCTTTTTTAGATTCGGGAGACAATCTGGAAAAAAAGTACAGTAATATATGTACCATCGTTTTCTGTGAAGGACACATTACATACATTACACCTAACACAATAAACTTGACAGTTGAGAATACTGGAAGAACAGTAAGAATAAATTTACCTAATTTACCCTGCACACCTAAAAGTGTGCAGCAACCACACTAAGATAATGTGGCAACTATAAGTACTTAAATTATTCTCAAAATATTCCACATTCCAAGAAGTTCTATTACAAGGAATTAAAAGTTCCCATCTCACACGATATCCACAAACCTGTAACAAATTCCCAAGAATTTTATACTTACAGGAATCTCACATACCACTAATAGCAGTTGCATTACCCTACAAGAAATCCTTGAACTTCCCGTCAACCACAGTAAGGAACTAAACTAGGTTCAACACAGTACTCAAATGTACTGAAAGGTGGCCAGACATGCAGCATATTATGTCAAAATCGACCAGTGGTTCAGTGACAAATGCTTTGGATATACTGTACTGCAGACCATCTCCAATGCCATCAGCATTCGCTCAATGCCATTGAGCGCACTCACCGTAATGCTCAACTAGTCACTACGCTGTCACATCGTGCTTCTTCAAACAACTGTTAAGATATATATTTACTATGCTGTGTTTTCTACTACCAAAACTAATGTAACAATAAAACATTACAATGTTTTCTTTCTCAATAAAATTACTGGTGCAGATGAGTTATGATAACCTAGCTGAAAATATATTATTACAATTCTTGATATGGTCCAGGAAGGACCGAAACAGTGTTTCTTAATTTTCTGATGTGTGATTCACAACTGCAAGAAAAATGACAAGTTAGATAAAAGAGAACCTTTCAAACAAGAGATGCTATACCAATGATGATACTTCAAGATGCTAGTTCTCTCTATAGTGGAATACTGTTGCACAATAACAGCCCCAATGAAAGAAATTGCTGAGCCGGAAAGCATGCAGACATCCTTTACTGCTCAAACCCACTCAATAAAACATCTAAATTATTTGAACCAATTAAAAATGCTTAAATCTATATTCCCTAGAGTGTAGGCAGGAGACATACAAAATCATTTACACACAGAAAATATTAGAGAGGTTGGTTCCTAATCTGCACATAGAAATAACATGAGACCAGAAGGCATGGCAGGATATGCAGAATACCCCCATTGAAAAACAGGTGGAATAGGTACTCTGAGAAAGAACTCCATGAACATCAGAGGCCTGAGACTATTCAACATGCTTCTACTACACATAAGGAACATAACTGGCTGACCCCTCACAGGGGAAAAGGGATGGGGGTGCAACCGTTCACAGCTTACCGAGTATGTACTAAGGTCAAGCCTCGTGGCCGCTGTACACAGAGACTGGTCTGTGTTGCCTCACTATTGCACTAAATTATACATTCCAACTTTTCCAGGTGGAAATTTCCTACAGTTTCAAACCTTTATATCAGTTGTGTTACCGTTCACTATTCACTGTATCCCTATGCAGGCGATGAGTCACAATAACGTGGCTAAAGTATGTTGACCAGACCACACACTAGAAGGTGAAGGGACGACGATGTTTCGGTCCGTCCTGGACCATTCTCAAGTCGATTGTGATGAGGAAGTAGACACAGGCAATAAATAGGCAAGAGAGCTGAGCAGCAAAGTAAGGTGTAGTAGTAATAATAAGAACTGCAGAGGCAGTAAGAACGAGGCAGCTCCCATTATAACCACCAAATGAGGAGATGAGGTACTTTCAGTAGGAGCTCCATCGGCGTGGCACAACACCTACTCTGATTGATGAAGACTAAGCCACCCAAGAGGTGGCACGGGTATTAATAACCCGTAACACCTACTCCACAAAAGACTTCCTCATGAAAGCCACCTCACCGAACTCCAATGACAGCACGGCCATGTCAACTTGTAGCCAGGCTCAACCATCGGCTCAGTAAAGAAAAAATGGAAGACTTAAAGGCCTTCATTAACTCACCAGCTCCAACTCTATAATTGGTACAGCCAACCCTGCGAGACAGATAAGAACATAAGAACAAAGGTAACTGCAGAAGGCCTATTGGCCCATACGAGGCAGCTCCTATCTATAACCACCCAATCCCACTCATATACATGTACAACCCGCGCTTGAAACAATCGAGGGACCCCACCTCCACCACGTTACGCGGTAATTGGTTCCACAAATCAACAACCCTGTTACCAAACCAGTATTTACCCAAGACTTTCCTAAATCTAAACTTATCCAATTTATACCCATTGTTTCGTGTTCTGTCTTGAGTTGATATTTTTAAAACCCTATTAATATCCCCTTTGTTATGTCCATTCATCCACTTGTAAACTTTTATCATGTCACCCCTAACTCTTCGCCTTTCCAGTGAATGCAATTTAAGCTTTATTAATCTTGAAAGACATAAAGCTTTGTAACATTAGAACGTAAGGATCTCATTATGTTTTCACATGCATTATTCAAATGAATAATACCAACCTTTTGAAGCGAGAGGCTTATATTAAGAACATAAGAACAAAGATAACTGCAGAAGGCATATTGGCCCATACGAGGCATCTCCTATTTATAACCACCCAATCTCATTCATATGTATGTCTAACCTACGCTTGAAACAATCAAAGAATTCTACTTCTATTACGTTACGTGGTAATTGGTTCCACAAACCAACAACCCTGTTACCGAACCAGTTTTTACCTAGGTCTTTCCTAAATAGTAAAGATCCTTTATAGGGGTGACATGATAGAGGTTTACAAGTGGATGAATGGACACAACAAAGGAGATATTAATAGGGTATTAAAAGTGTCAACACAAGACAGAACACGAAACAATGGGTATAAATTGGATAAGTTTAGATTTAGGAAAGACTTGGGTAAATACTGGTTCAGTAACAGGGTTGTTGATGTGTGGAACCAATTGCCGCGTAACGTGGTGGAGGTGGGGTCCCTCGATTGTTTCAAGCGTGGGTTGGACATGTATATGAGTGAGATTGGGTGGTTATAAATAGGAGCTGCCTCGTATGGGCCAATAGGCTTTCTGCAGTTGCCTTTGTTCTTTTTTCTTATGACTATTACTCACTGGATTCTATTAGGTAATTGTAGATCCATCTTCCTTTTGAACACATTTTGTGTAAATGTATTCATGGTCACATTTATCGAAGGCTTTTGCGAAATCTGTATATATTACGTCAGCGATATTTTTGTCTTACATGGCATCTAAGGCCACGTCATAGTGGTCCATAAATTGTGATAGGAAAGAGCGCCCTGTTCTGAAACCGTGTTGTCCAGGGTTATGTAGAAGCTGTGATAACATGTATTTTGTGATCCTCTTATCACTCGGCAAACTTTCGCTTGTTTTGATACTTTATATGTTTGTAAATACGAAAGATGTTATCGTATTTCTGAAAGTGCTAGATGTTTACGTGGTGTTAATATCTGTGGTTCCGATAGGGCGCCACAGTGTGTGTCCTGTCTAGCATCTGACCAAATTGATGATAGTTATAGCTAGGAGCTGCCTCGTATGGGCCAATAGACCTTCTGCAGTTACCTTGTTATGTTCTTATAGGAGGTTCGACATTTTATGTCATTCTTTTCCTATCCAACTAAAAAATCTCCCTGCTATCTATGAGCATTGTTGTATTCATAATGGTATTCTTTCGATTTTATTCGTTTGGTTCCTTTGATATGAAATGCTGGACAGTCTGTTAAAACATTCCTTCTTGTTTAGTGATTGTTAACACAGTTTTGGGTGGCATAGTGGTAAGACACTCGCTCCACGCGTCGCCAGCAGTTTGGCCCCGGTTTGTATCTTGGCCGGGGAGGATTGACTAGGCACCCATGCTTAACTGTACGCTTCTATTAACACAGCAATGATTGTGTACCTGGTTGTTAAACGATTGGCGAGTCTTAATCCTGATAAACTAATGGGCAAAGCTTACCATGAGCTAAGGGAAGGGAAAAGCTTTGAGCCTGCTAACAGGAGTCAGAAGTCTGTTCCTGTACCCACCTGTGTAAACAAAAACAAATCAAAATTTTGCTGGACAAAGCCCGACCTACAAAAACTATCAGCTTACAGTACACCAAAGTCAACCTCAGCATATCTCGACTAATTGTATTTTACACTACCAAAACAAGTTATTTTGCGTAGGTGTGTCAGAGAAAGATTCCGGTGGCCAGAGTGGCGTTTGTACTGGGCGTATGGTGGGTCGTGCATACCAACCAGGGCAGCCACAGCGGCAGTGGTTGTGTGTGACACGCTGGCATGGGTCCAAATGGGGATGAACCAAGCTGCCAACTTGGCTACCAAACGTGTGCTCGGTGCCGCTGCTCTCGCACACAATGGTCACTGCCTCCTCTTCTGGCACAACACTCAACCTTTCCTTATACCCCAACACTCGCACGCTTACCATTTTCCCGCAAATATTTAACACCAGAGAGAACATAGAGCCATGAGAGAGTGTATCATAGGAGTAGATGTTGTAGAGAACCTTGTCACACATCCTCTGCACCTGAGCCCTGCAACGTGACACACGTGTCACAGCCACTTCAACAACAACGGCATTCCCTGCTCCTATTACTCATACCTTGCGATCATAACTAGTAATCTTACTTAACTCGTACAGAAATAATACAAACAAAACAGAACCGGTGGCTCGTATTTTGAATGCAGTTTGGTTATCTCAAGAGTGGCGATGGTTGCTTCTAGAGGCAGCCCACCGAGCCCATGTGGGACTGTTGTTTTAGATTCAGCTAAGCAGAACGAAAAGTTCCAAGTAGCAGGGGCTATGGTGAGCCCGTAGCACAGGACCTGGCACAGTCCTGTAACACAGGACCACAGAGAGGCTGTAACGTCAATGTGGGGCGTCACCAAGTTTGTGAGACAAAGCTGAGACGCGGAGCACGAGTCCCAGCCCAGTCATCGAGTACTTGGTGACACCACCACTTCCCGCTGCTGCTTAAAACAGAACATAAGATTCAAGTTAACTACAGAACGCCTATTGGACCATACGAAGCCGTAGCTATTTATATCCACCCCAGACTCTTTCCTTTATATCGCGCAATTTGGTCCACAAATCGAATCTGTGAGCAGGGGTCGGAAGGGAGAACCCCAGTGAGCAGGGTTCCAGAGAGATTACAGAGGGCACAAAAGATCTTTATCAGACTCTAACGGAGATTATTACATTAACAATTTAATCTATCTTCACACCTTATATTATAATGTTAGCTAGCTACAGAGAATGTTTCATTTCAATAGCATTGGAAACGGCAAATTTCAATATTTACAGTTAATCATTATACATTAATGATAGGTCTTGTCGTTAATATATAATTGTTTGAGCTATGGAGATATTGCAGGGGTCAGAGGGTAGCTGCCGTTTGTTATTATTAGTCTTGACAATACACTACTTGCTTCTTAATCTCATATGTCGTGTATCTACTGGAAGCGAAATATGGATCACTGTGCCTACTGACCTTTAACCCGACGCCAGTGGGAGCCATCTAGACCGACCTCAATCACTCAATATAACACGCTCCACTTTCACCCCGAAATGTTTTAACATTCGCTTCTGTCTCCAGCTCTCATGCTATTTATATCAAGAGTTATTTTTAACTTGTATTAACACAGTCCTTATTCCTCTTGAACCTTTTCCTGCACATTGAAATAATTACTTATAGGATAAGACGTATGATTAATGAACTTCTTTCAACGTTCAAGAGGGAACTTGATTGCCGGGAATTACCTGTATATCCTGTGGATTACTCAGGGCATATGATTCACCGGGCTGTGATTCCTGCATACATGCAGCGGTGTTTAACAGACTGGTTGACCAAACCAACAAGCAGAATGCTTGGTCAGGGTTACCGCCTACTATCCACTGGTCCAACTACGTTTATCGAGACAATAAAATACATCTCAAAGGGATAGAGTAGTTTAGGGTATTTCTACCTTCGTTATACACTGGCAGACACTGTGGAGGAACGCGCCTATATGTGAAGGTGTGGCATTAAAAGTACCTTACTTTTAGTGCCTTACTTTGTACCTTACTTAAAAGGACAGACTTACCTGGGGTGGTGGTGGTGCTGGTGACGACGACTCTTGCTACAGGAGTCTCCGTCGTCCTTCCCGTTGTCGTTATCACCGTACGACTTGAGCTTCTTCCGTCTCCCTCCCTCACTCACAGTACTTTTGACACTCTCACTGTACTCATCATTTCCGTTTACCTTCACTACTGTGTCCTCACCATCAAACACACGGTGTTCACTCTCCGTACCACTTGGGCTTTGTAACGTTTTAATTTTTGCATCTGGGCTTTTTCCCTCTATTTCACACTCATTGGTTTTATCACTAGTTGCTTGTGGTAAGTTTTTACTTTGGTCCACTCTGTCTTTCTGGCGTTTGTTTCTCCTGTTCCTCCTCCTCTTGCTTTGTGTTTCTTCTGTGTTGTCCTTCACATGTTGGGTATTGTCGGGGCGTGCGGCCCCTGCTGCTCCCCCGCCTCGTGACAAAGACTGACTACTGCTGCGGCTGCGGTTATTCCTGGGTCGTCCCGCCTGCCGCCGCTCTCTGCCGTCTTCCCCTCGCTGCTCCCGCCCTGCCTGCGTCCGGGCTGCGGCTTCCCCTCCGCCTGCTGCTCTCTGCCCCGATTCTTGACTCTGCTGCCGCCTCAACTCTGGCTTCTTCTCTCTTACCTGCTTCTCTGGTTCACTCTCATCTTTATGTGGTTTGGATCCTTGTTGTCTTTCTTCATTTGTGTCTTGTCTTTCCTGTGGTAATTTCTCTTCTTTTGTGGCGATTTTCTCTACCGTTTTTGTCGCCTTATTTTCTTGACTAGTCTGTCGTTGAGGTAGCTTGCCCAGATGTTGTTGTTGTTGTTGTTGTTGTTGTTGTTGTTGTTGTTGCTGCTGCTGCTGTTGCTGCTGGTGTTGCTGCTGCTGCTGCTGTTGCTGCTGCTGGTGTTGCTGCTGCTGGGGCGACGTACTGGCAGTCTTACACTTAGGTCTGGGAGAGGAGGGTCGCCGGGGGTTCCTGAAGGTGACTGCTGTGCGCCGCTGATCGTCCTGACCAACGCTGACGGTGGCCAGGTCGGGGAAGTGCTCCTCCACAGTCTTGTGTATCAGGAACCGCCGGCGGGGGTTCACCGCCGGGAACAACAGCGCTCTGCAACAACACACAAATGTTTCATTTTAACTTACATCTCTTACTACATGTTTGATATCAAATGATATATACTTGAATATGCATATACATAAAGATACATACACTACAGCAGAATACGCAGAGTTAAATTCCTAAACTTGTATATTTTTGCATTTGCTGTAAAACACTTTTCTATACAATGAGTGAGACGTGTGTGTGTACCCTTTCCCAGCCAGCACTCCTTAGGAGACGCAGCGTGTTCCCAGATGCTGTGCCACGCTGTCTTCCCAGAGCACATTAATGTCTTGGCACCGGGGTCTCGCCCTCCCCCCTTTATTTCACTTGGCATTATCACTGGTCTATATGGTGCCACACCCGCCAAACTACCAGTCTCGCTTTTAGCTTGTGGCCAACTGTGTGGTGCTGGGGAAGTGGTGGGGGGATGTTAGGTCTTGGGGGGGGGGAGGTGCTGTGTTTGGGGGGTGATGCTGTGTTTGGGGGGGAGGTGCTGTATTCACCTAGTTGTGCTTGCGGGGGTTGAGCTCTGCTCTTTCGGCTCGCCTCTCAACTGTTTCTAACTACTACTATTTTTTTCACATCACACGCGCACACTCCAGGAAGCAGCCCGTGACAGCTGACCAACTCCCAGGTACCTATTTACTGCTAGGTAACAGAGGCATAGGGTGAAAGAAATTCTGCCCAATGTTTCTCGTCGGCGCTCGGGTCCAGCAACTGTGACAGGCAGGAGCGTCCTGTTCTGAAACCATGTTGTCCGGGGTTATGGAGATGCTGTGATTCCATATATTTTGTGATCTTATTTCTTAGCACTCTCAAAAGACTTATGTGTGATGTTAGTGCTATCGGTCTGTAATTTTTTGCCTCTGCCTTATTTCCTCCTTTATGGAGTGGTGCTATCTCTGCTTTTCTAGTATGCCATGGATAATGCCAGTATGTAGGCTCTGTCTCCAAAGAATGTGAAGGGTTGCGATAGTGTTTTTTTTACAGTTCTTGATGAATATAGTTCCAAGAATCAGGGCCTGATGCAGAGTGCATAGGCATATTGTCTATGGCTTCTTGAAAATCCAATGGGAATAGGGTGCCATCTGATATATGATTTGATATTGGTATCACATCTATGAAAAATTCATTTGGATTATCAATCTTCAGAGTGTTTAGTGGCTCGCTGAAGGAATCAATGAGTCATATTGATTCCTCAGTATTTCGCTCAATTCTTTGTTGTCATCTGTGAAAGTTCCATCTCCCTTTCGCAGGGGCCCGATACTAGATGTAGTTTTTGATCTTGATTTGCCTTGGAGAAAAACTAGAGAAAAAACATAGGAGGCTAACTCCATTCATAACTTTAAAAGCAGGTAAAGAAATAGAGAAATAGGCCAGGAGTCAATACATTAGACAACCAACGGCTAGAAAAGCTGGGTCCAAGAGCTACAGCTCAATCCTACAGGCACAAATACGTGAGTACACACACGTAATAGAATTCTACGATCAGGTGACAAAGATTAAGCAAGAAAGAGAAGGATGGGCTGACTGCATTTTCTTGGACTGTCGGAAAGCCTTTGACACAGTACCCCATAAGAGGCTGGTGCATAAGCTGGAGAAACAGACAGGAGTAACTGGTAGGGTGCTCCCGTGGTGCTCCTAAGCAATAGGAAGCACAGAGTTACAGTGAGGGGTGAGACCTCAGATTGGCGTGAAGTTACCAGTGGGGTCCCATAGGGCTCAATACTCGGACCTATCCTGTTTCTGATATACGTAAATGATCTCCCAGAGGGTATTGACTCATTCCTCTCAATGTTTGCTGACGATGCCAAAATTATGAGAAGGGTTAAGACAGAGGAGGACTGCTTGAGGCTTCAAGAAGACCTGGATAAACTGAAGGAATGGTCCAACAAATGGTTGTTAGAGTTTAACCCAAGCAAATGTAATGTAAAGAAGATGGGTGTAGGGAGCAAGAGACAAGAAACAAGGTATTATTTGGGAGATGAAATTCTTCAAGAATCAGATAGAAAAATAGACCTGGGGGTTGATATCACGCCAGACCTGTCCCCTGAAGCCCATATCAAGAGGATAACATCAGTGGCATATGCCAGGTTGGCCAACATAAGAACGGCCTTTAGAAACTTGTGTAAGGAATCAATCGGACCTTTGTATACCACATATGACAAACCAATCCTGGAGTAAAGGATCAAAGGTTTGCCACCAACTAGTACCTGAACTGAGGGGCATGAGCTACGAGGAAAGACTACGAGAATTAAAAGTCACGTCGCTGGAAGACAGAAGAGTTAGGGGGGGACATGATCATCACATATAAGATTATCAAAGGAATTGATAGGGGTAGATAAAAATAGACTATTTAACACAAGGGGCACTAGGGGACACAGGTGAAAGTTGAGTGCCCAAATGAGCCATAGAGACATTAGAAAGAATTTAGTTAGTGTCAGAATATTTGGCAAATGGAATGCAATAGGAAGTGATGTGGTGGAGGCAGACTCTATACACAGTTTCAAGTGTAGATGTGATAGAGCCCAATAGTGTCAGGAACATGTACATCAGTTGATTGACGGTTGAGAGGCGGGACCAAGGAGCCGAAGTTCAACCCCGCAAGCACAACTAGGTGAGTACACACAAGCACACAAAGAAGGTCCTCTTACTTACGAGGGAGAGACATCGTTAAGATGATGGTAGAGGTACTGATGGAACATGTTGTGTGTTCTCGGTCTACCACAGCTGCCACCACCCAGCTGCTAGGCTCACAGCTGCCACCACACAGCTGCTAGGCTCACAGCTGCCACCACCCAGCCAGAGGAGCATGGTGTACGAACATGGCAGCCGACACACTTATTCTTCACAGTTTAACATTGGCTCCGCTACGCGAGGCGGACTTCCATTTTTCTTGGTGTATTAAGGTGGGGAAACACGGTCCACGAGGGATGGTGGCCCTGGTGGTGGAGTCACCGCTGGTGAAGTTGAGTGATACTTTTCAAGACAATAGTGCTCCCTAGGGTGCAGTACTGTTGTATACCAACAACCCCCATACAGAGCTGGAGACATTCACTACACATAAGGGGCATAACTGGTCAACCCCTCGCCACTAGTGTTCAAGAGAGAACTTGATAAACACCTCCAACGTCAGGCTGCAAGCAGCCGCACCCAACAGCCTGGTTGACCAGTCGGGGACCGGGCCGCGGAGACGCTGATCCTCGGGACCACCACAAGGTAAGGTAGCCCACATACTGATGTCACTGCTGATCAAATGTTATTTTCTAAACCTATTATATATTACAATTAAACATTTAATTCCGTATTATTTTATGAATGATTGTCTATATATAATATACTCATTGGTAAACTAATTAACCGCACCGCTGGGAGACGGCGTCCCCCCCCCTCACCCCCTTGGAGAGGGGTCGCGCGCCCCCCTCGCCACCAAAATAAAGGTACACTCAGACAACCCCCCTTCCCCCAATAAAAGTGTTGGATGATATTTCCAGTCCATTTGGAAGTGTGCTGTCATACTTTCTCTGTCTGGCTCTTGCACGACACCACGTTCACAGCCTCGGCCCTACTTCTGCTTGTCCACACATTCCCCGCCCATCACTCTCCTGCGGGACGAACCACCACCAACCCAGGAGCTGCTCGAGGTGTTTTGACGTAGACTCAAGGAAAGTTGAGTGATAGGCCTAAGAAGGTGGAAGTTCAGTTGTTATTACTATCATATGAACCTGCTCATCATAGCTCGCTCGCCTCACACCTTGCTAACGTTATGGTGGGCATACAAGGAATGTAGCTCATACTCTTGCACACACCTGTTTACACACACCCAACACACCACTTTACACACACCCAACACGACAGTTAATTCACTCGCTACTGCCTTAACTCCCTAATTGGCTTACCATATTAAGTTCACTGGCGAGTCTTCTAAATCCTCCCCCCCCCTCCCCCCCCGGGCCAAGGTTACTGCCACAGTTATCATCCTCGCTAATGCTCTCACAGTGATAAGATCACCACCTGGAATTACCTTGGCTTAGGTCACTGCGACGCTCCGTGTATCAGTGAAACCGTCCTCTTAAAAATAATGTCGCTTTTCCCTGGTATGCGGGCGCTATGGCCAAAAATGGACGTAATTTGAAATGAAATCGGCTCACGAAAGTGATGTGCTGTCCCGTTTGAGTCCTCCGGCTTACTCGGTAAGGTTAGGAGAGGAAACTTTCAATTAACGTTTTTCATGACGTTTTGAAACCTTAGGAGAACTTCCTGTCTTCCTAACCTACCAGAGGACCCTTAACTTACTGTTTGGGAAAAAAATTCCAAATTTTATTTTAAAATCTTTCTATTACATTCAGACGTAACTTGTAAAAGGACAGGTTGACATGTGAAGCGTGCACCCCTACACACCGCTGGCTACCACCACTAGCAGTATGGTACACCTTCACTATCATCACCAGCAGTATTGTAACTAGTCACCAGTGAACAAAATTGAACAAGAACAAGGGAGTAAGGTTACTGTGGCAGAATCAACTATATTATATATGTTAGGGCAGTATTATTAAGAGCCGATACACACTAGTGAGGAGCAGCTCCACGTCTGGCTGTGTCAGCCAGACACGCCCCCACCCAGACATCCTAACGGATCCTGACGAACCTGTCCTAACACGATGATTGATTGATTGATTGATAAAGATTAAGCCACCCAAGAGGTGGCACGGGCATGAATAGCCCGTAAGTGGTACAATTTTTTTCAGTAATTCTTTTCAGTATTCTGAGGTTGCATTTAATCATCAAGCTGTTATCGCGGGGGAGGATAATGCTTCACAGTCTTTATGAGGGTGTCCAGCTGCTGGACACCTTTGTTGACCAGGAGAGTGGCTGTGTCCTAACACGGGTTTGCAGTGTATTAATTACACGCAGAAGACACGCCCGGGGGGTGTACTCACCTATTTGTGCTTGCGGGGGTTGAGCTCTGGCTCTTTGGTCCCGCCTCTCAACTGTCAATCAACTGGTGTACAGGTTCCTGAGCCTACTGGGCTCTATCATATCTACATTTGAAACTGTGTATGGAGTCAGCCTCCACCACATCACTGCCTAAAGCATTCCATCCGTTAACTACTCTGACACTGAAAAAGTTCTTTCTAACGTCTCTGTGGCTCATGTGGGTACTCAGTTTCCACCTGTGTCCCCTTGTTCGCGTACCACCCGTGTATACATTGTGTGTGTTTATTTAAGTTATTCACAATTGTGTAAGTAGCTTCACTAGTTACTTTCTTAGCTAATTGAACTATGGGGGTTAAGGCATTGTGCGCCTCTGTAACCCTCTCCACCAGCGCGCACGGGATGGGTATGGGGTGCATAATAAATAACACTAAATATAGTGCAGTAATAGAGCTGAGTTGTGAGCGCACGTCTGGTCAATGTTACCCACGTGCCAGGAGCTGTGGCGAGCAACATGTCACTTGGTTGTGTAGCTTACCAAGTGTAAGCATATACATATATATACATATATATACATATATATACATATATATATATATGTATATATATATATATATATATATATATATATATATATATATATATATATATATATATATATGTATATATATGTATATATATATATATATATATATATATATATATATATATATATATATATATATATATATATATATATATATATATATATATACATATATATATATATATACATATATATATACATATATATATATATATACATATATATATATATATATACATATATATATACATATATATATATATATATATATATATATATATATATATATATATATATATATATATATATATATGTCGTACCTAGTAGCCAGAACGCACTTCTCTGCCTACTATGCAAGGCCAGATTTGCTTAATAAGCCAAGTTTTCCTGAATTATTATATTTTCTCTAATTTTTTTCTTATGAAATGATAAAGCTACCCATTTCATTATATATGAGGTCAATTTTTTTTATTGGAGTTAAAATTAACGTAGATATATGACCAAACCTAACCAACCCTACCTAACCTAACCTAACCTATCTTTATAGGTTAGGTACGGTTAGGTAGCCGAAAAAGTTAGGTTAGGTTAGGTTAGGTTAGGTAGGTTAGGTAGTCGAAAAACAATTAATTCATGAAAACTTGGCTTATTAGGCAAATTTGGCCTTGCATAGTAGGCTGAGAAGTGCGTTCTGGCTACTAGGTACGACATATATATATATATATATATATATATATATATATGTATATTATATATATGTATATTATATATATATATTATATATATATATTATATATATATACACACACACCTTTGTTGGTAGATTTTCAGGTAGGATATTTTGCGCTAGCTTTAGGCCCAATAAATAGATAATGAGAGTGGTTCATCTCAAGGTAGCGTGTTGAGGAGCAGCGAGGCGAGGGTGTGGCGTAGTATGCTGTCGCCTTCCTCACACTAACACATTAAATGTGAGCGTGTGAGAGAGGCGCACATCACCTCCCTCGCCCGAACATGAGCGAGACGCATTAGATCAGAGGGATGCGTCGTTAACACAACTAATCACTTTCCTTCACAGTTCCAACACCGACAGGTTTTTTTTCACGGGCTAATAACGGTACGACCCGGACCAGTCTACGGGCTCACCATAGCCCGTGCTACTTGGAACTTTTTGTTCCAGGTAGCGAATCTTAAACAACAACTCGGACCACACGCGTACAGTACTGGAACATGATATAACCGTATCCCCCACTGACACAGGAAATGTAGATGTTTATCTCTCAGAATGTTTGGTAATATGTTTATTGTTTGTGATGTGTTTACATGTATGTATTAACTCGCTGTACTGAACGGGGTGAGAATAGCTTGAGCTACCTCATCCCTTTGGGTGTATTTTATCTCAATAAACTTATTTCAATTCAATTCAACCACTGACACTCGAGGTAAGCGTTCAGTACGTGTACGGGTCGCCAGCTGTCACTTATAACAACACTTATCACCTTCACAACCACTCTTGACCTTTATCTTCACAATTCAGTGTATATTACTGCACAACGTATCACTCCTGGTGGGAGAGACCCAGACAAAAGGAGGTGGCCAACGACTGTGACACGCTAAGCACCTCTCACTTAGTTACCAAACCGGCACCTTGCTTGCCTTGAAACGACGCCAGGTGCCGCTTCCCAAAGTGTCGTACCGCCACGTTTCCATACACCGGGCGCGCGCGCGCGCACACGTGTTTATGTAGGACAGACCTAAATCTCTGTATTTATGTTTGTAGGCTAGATTGGCATTTTAAAAACACTACAATCACCTTCTATGGTTGATTGTTTAATAAATCACTGAACTCTGATGTTTAACAGATCTCTAATTCTGTCCATGGAGGACAGAAGAAAATGTATATATTCTGGTCAGCACTGTAAATGTGTGGTCACATCTGTGATAGGAAATAATATGCTCACGGTATGCACCGTGAATGGACCTCTGATGTTCACAGTACTCTGTTGACCAGACCACACACTAGAAGATGAAGGGACGACGACGTTTCGGTCCGTCCTGGACCATTCTCAAGTCGATTGTGACCATTCTCAAGTCGATACATACTTTAGCCACGTTATTGTGACTCATCGCCTTCACAGTACTCTCTGATTGTACCTATGGCACATTGTACTCTTCACTGGCTTTATTCTGCATTTCCTGACATAGTTCGCTCCAGTATGTTATTTTACTGCGCAAATTTGGCACCTGGCCTTCCAGTATCTTGTGATATCATTCTCGTCTGATTTATAGAAAAGTATATGTTGAGAGGTTTGAGGCGGTCCCAATAACACGCAATCTGGACGAAGCAATAAGTAATTATCTACAGAAAGCATCAAGCCAGGAAGGCCATGATTAATGAACAAATCCACAAGGGCCGTGACGAGGATTCGAACCTGCGTCCGGGAGCATCCCAGACACTGCCTTAATCGATTGAGCTACAACAGGGTAAAAAGAGCTGAAACCGAAGTTCTACTGAACTTACTGGTGGATTTGTTCATTTGATGCATCACGTTAGTGTGATTTATGTGTGTAATGAAAATAATAATATAATAAATAAATGTTTATTCGGGTAAAAGTACATACATTTAAGATAAGTTACAAACAGAATGTTGGATTTCTAGATAGAGCTAGTATATACTATGCCTCAAGCCACTTATACGTACAACGTTTCGGGCAACGAATGGTATGTACTACACATACATACCTGAATTTTATACGGGTATGTAGCGGACGAAGCACAGTAACGCAAGAAAGCAGCAGTATTATGAGCATAAGTGGCAGTTTAAGACATGATAATTTAGCCTCCACAAACGTAACTGGAGAGGCGGGGACAAGACTATGACGAGAGGAGCGTGAGCAGCATACAACAGCAGCCTTGAGAAGGTTTCCTTGTAGGAAACAGGACACCAGAGTTCCCGTCACTCTGGCCCCGTCCCTGCCCCCACCACACACCCGTCACCCTGGCCCCGTCCCTGCCACCACCACACACCCGTCACCCTGGCCCCGTCCCTGCCCCCACCACCCACCCGTCACCCTGGCCCCGTCCCTGCCACCACCACACACCCGCCACCCTGGCCCCGTCCCTGCCCCCACCACACACCCGTCACCCTGGCCCCGTCCCTGCCCCCACCACACACCCGTCACCCTGGCCCCGTCCCTGCCCCCACCACACACCCGTCACCCTGGCCCCGTCCCTGCCACCACCACACACCCGTCACCCTGGCCCCGTCCCTGCCCCCACCACACAAGCAACACAAAATGGTTGCAACAAATGGCTAGTCGTTTAACTGAAGTAAATGTAATGCC